TCCGTGTGAAGTCGATCGAGTTGATAGTCGGTCAGCGAACGAGTGTCTCATAGTCTAGTGCCGAGTTGGTCGTCAGTGCACCAAGAGAGTCTTTTAGTGTATCCTCGAGTGTGTTGAGCTCCGAGAATGACTGAACCGAGGAGTCAGAAGCTGTACTCTAGCCTATCGTTGAATGCATCGCGAGTTGTAGCGTGGAGAGTCTCAAGAGTATGCGGAGTTCCGAGAACGACCAAGCAGAGTCGGGAACTGTACTCTGATGCTGTGCCGTTAAGCTGTTTCCACTGTGATAGTGTGAAGGCTGTGTCGCTGATTGTGTCAGCATGTTTATAGTAGTTTTTCGACGACTGTAAACGTTTTATTGGAGCTGTTTTGAATAATACTGGCCAATAAAGTGTGCTTTGATACTTCATCAAGTGTTGTCGTCATTATTCACTCCAAATCCATGAACCCGTACCATAACATACGTATGAAGACAGAAAAATACGTTACAATATTAATAAAATAAACAAGAAAACTTCCATCAGTTTGAAAAACCACAGAAGTTTTTTGATTACCCTTCATATGCATAATTTTTATGCTATGATGTATCAAATAATTATTATTTCTAACTTAGCATTATATTATCGAATTAAGCTCTCCTATTGAAGTAACTGAACCTTTCTTAAATACTCCTTCTACCTTATTTACATGCAACATAATACTAAAATTTCATTCTGGTAGGGAGTTGTAAGTGGGAAACAAGAATTTAAAGGAAAGGGTTTGAAAACTTAAAATATCTGTTACAAAATTAAAAAAAAAAAAACTTACAGTAATGTAATTATCAGTGTTTCTGAAATAAATACTGTATATTTCCGAATATAAGCCAAAAATGCATTTTTCCTTCAAAAATGTATCCAAAATTCAAAACTAATATATAGGCTGAAGTTTAAAAATAAAAATCCTGTAATATTGAAATGTCTTGCCATGAGGGTGAAAATTTTGCCAAGCAAGTAAAATATGGATTATTTTTCAATTAAATCTGTAAAGTAAAATGGCAGATACCCAAATTTAAGTCTGGTAACCCTTTCTGAAGCTAGCACATTTTTTTCATTCTTTTGTTGGCCTGTTTATCTGTACTAGTCTTTATTTCCAGTGCCATTTTATTTTATGGCTGAAAGATAAGCCAGAAGAGAAATTCTTATGTGGCAAATTTCAAAATAAAAATAATTGCATTTGATGAAAATTCTGGCTGCTCATCATTTCTTCACAAATAAAAAAAATTGGGTGAAAATTTAACCACTATCAGAATTTTCATGTTGCCGATGTGACAGCAAACCAGCATTATAAGCAATAACAAGAATAAAGCAACTCATTTACATAAAATGAATATTATGAAATATAAACTAAACAAATTAAAAAAAAAAAAAAGATTTGGCCATAATTGCTTGCTCCTGACTAACAGAACAGTACCTACATTTTTTGCAGGATTAGCAGATTTATATATAAGTTGACCCCTGTAATTTCCAAAAATTCTTGGCTTGTATATGAAAATATAGGTAATTATTATTACAAAAAGAACATCTACCAAAGAACATCAGAAAAGAATGATTTTTAATGGTCTTATTTTTAAACGCAAGCAATGAAATATGTCTTTTATTCATATAAATTATATCTAAGTTGTGAAAATTTCGTTTTCTGCAATTGTCAGCCAAAGGCAGAGTGACCTAGAAACATTCTCTCACAAATGTTAGAAAGGGGGTGTAACCTCTCACCTTTGTGATGAATTAACTGCCTGAATAATCCATTGTTTTGGTAATATACCAGCCAAGGTTGAATTCGCAAAGGTCAAACTACAGCAGTTCATAAACAAGCAAAGTGCATGAAATGGAAGAATTTTTTTTTTTTTTATCTTTCTTCAGACATGAACATATAACACTTGCAAATTGCAAAAAGACATGCCAGTAAAATTCCCAGTTTTTTACTATAGTCTTTAATAAAATCATACTGGATCTAATGGCAGATAAATAGTACATAGTAAAATAAGAGTTTTAACCAAAGAACGTGTCTAACAGTTATATTCTGAAATTGAGCTTGTAGAAATGCACTCAGAAATCTAAGACTGCCATCCCACATCCATTTGTTTTCAATGAACAACTGTTTCAAACAATTTTTTCTATCTGTTTTATCAGTGAAACAAAATTTTTTCCTTCCTTTTGCAAAGAATTATAAGTTGTTTGTTTTAACAACCATTCAGCTGTCAGCATTGAATCCCCCATCATTTATAACACAGAATTAATTTGCCCTCTTCATGGTAACCCCAAAGTAATCCATTATAATAGGCTATTTCGTATGATCTGACAAAGCAGAAAAATTATACTAAACAGTTGTTCTCCCGATATGCTTTGAATGTGTCATACAACCTTAATAATAAATTACCATATGTGTATAAACATTTAAAGAAAATTCCAGTGCATCATCCAGTTACATCAAGAAACATCATGAATCTTTATCAGAAAAGAATGAAAATCTCCAATAGCTAATAATAGCTGGAAATTTAATCACAATTTTGACTTTGAGTTTGCAAAAATTATCCATTAAGCTTCTTAATTAGTGAACTCGATTGCCTTGAAGTTTTTCACATTCACAAAATTTCAACGCATTTTTGATTAACAAACTCGACAATTTCAAAATGAGCAATGGCAACACTGTGATTAGTGCACGAAGCTGTGTATAAAAAATTCTAAAGATATGCTCTTTTTTAATATTTTGTAATATTGCTGTTGAATTTAATTTTATAGTTTAAGATATTGATGAACATGATATTTAATAAATATAGGTAATACATTAAACAATTAAAAAATTCCCCCTTGGGTGTAATATAAAATATGAAAGCTTCAGAATTTTTTCCATCAAATTTTGAATAATAGTCTTTCATGCAAATATGAGCATCTGAAAGCCCAAATTTGCAATTTTTCTTATCTATTTCATATTTTGTAAAACTTTAATGAATTTTTTATTAACAAACTCAACCATTTCAAAGCAACGGCAACACTGTAAGGGATTAAAAAAAAAAAACATTTTTATCTCCAGTGCGGAAGACTGTGCATCAGAAATTCTAAATATTTTGTGATATTGCTGTTGAATTGAATTTTAGAGTTTAAGTGTGGGAAAACGTGATATTTAATAAATAAAGGTAACACACGAAACATTAAAAAAAGCCCCTTTGGGCAAATTTTTTTTGGGGGGGAGGTTGATGTTTTTATACTCTACAGAGTGCTCCGAGTAGAGAAAGGGTTGCAATAATTCTACCATGAAGAAAAGTAAATTGTGCCCAGCTGTGTAAATGAAGTAGGTGGCAAATGCGACACATTCTGGGGAATGTTCAGAAGCATCTTCCTTGTAAAGAGGCTTTGCTTCCCCAAGTCTGTGCACATGCATTTTAAGGCCAGAGCACAAACTACCAGTCCACAGGCCAAAAAGGGTTGAAAAATTCAGCTTTATTTCACTTTGAGTCCACACTAACTAGTCCGAGATATGTGGAAATACTCAAGATTAGCATGATTGGAAAGGAGTAGTTCAATAATATAATGCAATATGCAATCGATCTGTCGTTGCCACAAGATACTCGGTACCATGATTTAACCTCTAGTTTCCCTGGTACATTTATGGAATGTATTAGAAATTAGCATATGAACAATGATTCAGTTCCATCCAATGTAAGGTAACAAATGAAATATACTGCAGGATTTAAGGCTAATAATATCACTAACCTGCTAATTTCATTTCCACTGCATAATGAGATCATTGTTATGGTTAGCAGAGAGGCAACTCTGCTGTTCTGTGGTTTTGGGCATTTAAAAGCACAGATTAGTATTTTGGTAAAAGTAATTTTTTATGTATTTTGGTATAATGTTTTTTTGGTAAAAAACTGATTTAGCTAAATAAAAAAGTAAAATTTTTTAGAAAATATGTGGTATATAATTTTTTTATCTAGCAACTGTTTGATTTCTGAAGTACAAAAAGATAATACACTAACTTGTGATTTTGCTTTAGAATTTTGCAACAAAATCCTTTTTGGTCAAATTTATCTTCATTCTTAACGGCAATAATGGAGTAAAATTCAAGTCAATCAATGACAGATATACTAGAAAGGATTACTACATCGCAATCAGCTGTATGCTGCCACCAGGAGAAATTCAGCAAGTTAGGAATATGGGTATCTCACAATCTTGGTGAATATAATAAAAAAGATCACAGATCAATTGCCAGTTGCCAGAAGTCTGCTCTCAAAGGTAAATTTTACCTTTTTTAGATAGGCTTATAGTAGATGATGAAAAATGGGTTACCTATGATATCATCATCCACAACAGACAATGGCTTGATGACAATCAACTATCCATAGCAGATCAGAAAGCAACTATCTGTGGCAAAAGGATTTTCTTGTGTACATGGTGGGATTGACAAGGTATTAATTCATCATGAGTTGTTGAAGGCAAACTTAATTATTACTGCATATGCATTCAGTAGCTGCAAACAGTGCGAGAGAAATTTCACAAAAAGCATCATGCACTCATAAATTGTAAAAACATTTTTCTTTTATATGACAATGTGGAACCACATACATCAAGGATAAATCAAGAAAAAATTATTCAGCCTGGATGGTCTGCTTTGCTACTCCCACCTTACTTCCTGAACCTTGCCTCGACAAACTGCCACCTTTTTTTATTCCTTATAAAACTTTTTGAATGGAAAGACCTTCAATTCTAAACCGCTAGTCAGGCAGGCCATCGAAAATTTCTTCCAGTCCAAACCAGCCAAATTATACAATAAAGGAATTAATAAGCTGAGAAGATGGGAAAAGGTTGCATTTAATATTGGAGAATACATAGTAAATTAATATAATTTTGTAATTTAATGAAAGCAAAGTAAATGCCTGATAAAAAAATGGAAGTTATTTGTGGTTCAACTACAAATATATATTTATTACAAAGAGATTCTTTTTTATTAAAAAAGGCATAAAATATTAAGAAATATATTTTATTAAATTTGCTATCCATAAATTTTTACAGATGTCATTCAATTTGTTTCATGGCTTGTTGAGCTGCTATGCTAGGATTATTGACGGTTTCACCTAAAGATTCCAATAGTTCTTTTCGATAATCATCAAAGTCCCCATCTATCTCATCTATGTTCTGGTTTTCTATTACCCACAACTGACAGTTGGTTTCTCTAATCAAACGTTCATCGTGAGTAACTATCACAACACCTGTAAAATAAACATATCAGATAAGTGAGAATGAAATGCTTAATTTATATGTAGAAGATATGAATTTAATGTGATACAGTCATTTAAATTCCTGATAAATTATGGAGATATTTAATTCTGTTTTTATATGTAAAATAAACAGATCAGTTAAGTTAGAAAGAAATGCTTAATAATTATATATAAAGAGATATATATTTGACTTGATGTAGTCATTTATTAAATTCCTGATAAATCTTAGATAATTTAATTCTATTTTACATTTCTAATATACAAAATATGTAATTTAGAAAAAAAAAAACTCAATCATTTTTACATGATTTATTTTAAACTAACACAGTTCAAATGGCATCATTACCAAAATCTCTACTATATATACTTTCTAAAATATATTACTACAAATTTCTAAGTATTTACATTTATGCTAACAACATTCAAAACCTTTGATTTAGAATAGCTAATAATAAGCGTAGTAGTTTTGACTTAAAGGCCACGAAACCACAATAACTGCAAAACATATTTCTTCTATTCAACAAAATAAAAAAAATCTTGGTTTCCTGTACATCAAAACATTATTTAAAGCTTAATAACACTATGTAAATAAATAAATAAAAATTAAATTAATGATAAATGGGGAACTGCAGTAAAACAATATAGTAATTAATACTAGAATGTGTAGTGTGTGTGTAAAAAAATCCTAGAAAACAATCCTTCATTCCGGATGAAAGGGCAAAAATGGCAGCCAATAAAATTCAGTTAATGAGATAGACTCCAACCTACAGCAAAACTTGTCAGTAGTCAGCACGTGAATGGCATTCTTCAGCTTTATGAATGTGAGGCATATTTTTTAATTAACTATTAATTTTTATCAATTTATTCATCAATAATAGATGGGAACGTATAAAAATGAACAGATGGAAACAAAATTTTAGTTCGCAAATTAATGTCAACAACTTCAGCATGTTTTAAAAATGGACCATTTAGATGAAATTTATCTATTACAAATGAACATACAGTTACTTGCACTGAACTGAAAAATAACTTCACATCACTTCAACTCAGCACTTTTTAAATACAATCTTGTTTCTGTATCAGTCACTATATTTTCAATCCCTTTTTGTTTATTACACTTTTGAAATGGAATAGATATCACCGTAACATCTGCATTTCTTTCAGAAATTACTGATGGTTTTAAGAATCTAACAAATATATTCATTAAAAGTTCAACAAGTTCTCCTTTCAATTTATGTATATAAGGAGCTTACTGTTCCAAGTAAATACATGTTTGTAACAGAAGTTTTCCGCAAAAATAAAGTTCTCAATAAAGTTATGGGGGGGAGGGGAACATGAAAGCAGTAATCTTTAGTGCGGGTAGTAATCACAACCCAAATTATGATTTTCTGCCAACGTTTTGGCGGTTTTATTAGAGCCTTTGGACCAGAAACTAGGTGGCTACGAGTCCAAAAACAGATCAACCTCATTTCGGGCATCCTGTGCAGAACAGAAGATAGGACCAGCAAGATGTAGCTGCAGGTGTGAAAAAGGTAGAAGTCCGAAGGAGCGATGTCGGGGCTTTATGGTGGGTGGGGCAAAAGATCTCGTTTGACTCCAGGCACATATGGTCTTGCATTACCTTAATGGAAAGTTACCTTTTTGCGCTGGAACTCAATTCAACATTTTTTCTTGACAGCAGCATCAAAATGGACTAGCATCTCGCTGCACACTTTACTGTCAAGGTTTGTACCTTTTCCCCATACACTTAACGAATACCGTATATACCCACGTATAAATCGACCCCCCACTTCCGAAATCGATCGAGAAACTTCGAAAACATTTTTTTAAGAACTACATTTATTCAAAATCATCTGAGAAAAAAAATATATATATACGATAAAAAATACCTTGGTAAATAAACAAAATCAAAATCCTTTAATGTCCGATTCATGGTCAGATTCGCCAAACATTTCATAGAACTCTTCTGTCATCATTGGCTCATCATCATACATATTTTCAGTCTCGAACTCTGTATTGTTACAATCACTACTAGAGCCTTCGTTGTCATTTTCACTTTCAAAAAACAGCATCATCTTCCATGCCATCTAGTTCGTTGCTAATACAACATTTTTTAAATGATTTTATAATCATTTCAGAGGGTATTTTGTTCCAAGCATCTTTAACCCACTGGGCAATTAATGTAATATCGGCTTTTTAATGTTGCCTCCCTTTGTAAATGTTGGTCCCGGAACTAATCCACTTTGCCCAATATTTTCTAACATTTACTTTGAAGGGCTTATTGAGGCAGACATCTAGGGGTTGAATGACGGATGTCAATCCTCCCGGAATTACAGCCACAGTCGTTTTTAGGTGTTTTGTCACTTCTTCAGAAAAGTGTCCACGAAAAGAATCGAATACTAAAAGAGGTTTTTTGAAAGCTGAATAATCGTATATAGTAACCTTCTAGAATTTGTTCCGGAAAAGATTCGTGTACATAAAATCTATCTGCATTTTCCCTTTTTAAAAGTTAAAAGAAATATTCAAAATTGTTCAGTTTTTGCGTGGGCTATTTTTTTAAATTTTGACATGTACACCTGTTAACAAAAGTATTTCATGAATGAACAATAACTATTATAAAGACTTATACGTACATAAAAACTATCTGCATTTCTCTTTTCTTGGTGTGTTGGCAAAAATTTTTTATTGCTCGATACTGATCGGTTGTTTGGGGGCCGAAATTTCTTTGGTTTAATCGAAACTTACTCTTGTTAAAGTATGAAACTCTGCGATTAGTTCGTCACATAATTTAAGTCATGAAATTACTTCAAGTAAGTGACTTATTTGATAAGTCGTCCAATTCGAGTGCGGGAAGAAAACAACTGCATTATATAAAGAAATTTTTGAACTTCCGATTCTTTTAATTTTTTATGGTCCCGTGTATAAGTCGACCCCGCCCCCACTTTGAAGTCTTTTTTTTGTCCAAAATATCTCGACTTATACGCGGGTATATACGGTAATATGACGGCAACGTGATTAAACATCACAACTGTTTGCCCAGACAATATTTGCGGTGGTGGGAAACATTCATTAAAACCCAATATTACTGTTATAAACAAAGTATTCTTCAAAAAAAAAAAAAAAATACAATTTGGTGCTAGGTGACTAACTTTTTTTTAATGCTTTGACAATATCTTTCCTTCATTCTCACTGTTATTTGTTGGCAACCAGAAAACTTAATCAGAACATTCCAATGTTCCAAAGACTCTACAGTGCCTCTTGGCAGCCATATTTTACTGCAATATTTCAGAATTTTATGAGATTTTGCATTCTGTCCAAAATCTGTAATGCAAGTTTCCAACTGTGCTTCTATTTCGAACTTTTCTCTAAATAAAAATATATATCTATTAACAACATTCCTATTCCTCAGCCAACTTATTTTTCAGTACTTCCCCCCCCCCCAGTTATATGCAAGAGGTGACATAGTCGACCTTGAATGACTATCTGGTTGATGGATTTCGATAAATGATGCTACACCTTGAAATTTTCCCAACATATTACTAGCATTGTCTGAAGAAAATTATAACCAATTTTTCCATTCTAAACCTTTGCTCATAAAGTATTCATTTATACAATTACGACCACCCTCCCCAGTACAGTCAAAAGTCGTTAATCTGGACTCGTCGGGACTTCGGGCGATTCTGGATTATCGATTTTTCCGAATTATAGATCATCAGTTTAAATCTGGTGAGATGGCATGCAGAAATTACAAAATTAAAAATATGAAACCGTAATTTATGAAATAAAGAACAATTATGGTCTAAATGGTATCAAAATTTACAAAAAGAAAAAGCTTAATATTTATTTGTTTACTTTATTAAACATTTCTTTCAATGTAAGTTGCTTCGTTTCATGTGATAATACTTCTCTTTAATTCTATTAAACAGACATAATTTCTTGTTTAGTTACAAAGTTCCGCTGTTCAAGTCCTATAATTGCTGTGTTGAGAATACCGACTAATTTGTCAATCGAAATGTTTTCGTTTTCAATAACCTCTGGGTCACTTTCTTCACTATCGGAAGCGAATAGTAATGATGGGGAACTTGATTTAAATCATATCAAAGACAGAGTACATCGAGATGAAATACTACACTCAGTAAGGAATTATAAGCCAAATAAAATAAAAACATCTGCCCTGAAGATAAGGATAGTGCTGACAGATCAACTTCCAATCCGCAGCGTGAAATTGATAAACAGATTTCGGATTTCAAAACATACTTTCGCTTTGTAGATACAAATTACATATTAGTAAATATATATCGGAAATTCTATTTGACATAATCGAAAGTTCAAGCTTACTTTTATGAAATTGCTCTAACAGTCTGCAAAAAATAAGCCGGATCCAATTCGTAGATTAAGGAACAACGCAATCTGCAACATTAACTGAATTAGATAATTTTAGCTTACCTCCGTTACACATTACATGCGCATGCGCACAAACATATTCGCAGCCGTAAAGGTCTTACGCGCACTCGTAAATGCCTGTGCGCATGCGTGAACGCAACGCATGCGCAGAAAGTTTGTAGCTTTGAGGTCCTGATTATAGATCATTCCGGATTATGGGTGTCCGAATTAACGACTTTTGACTGTATTATTCATGCATTCTAAAATAAAAAAACAATGAAGTAATTACCACTTTTCTTTCCTGTAATATGTCATAATCAAAGGGTATAGTTTACTATCATTGTTATCACTACTTCTATCAATACTTAGAACAAATAGTGTACTGTCAACTGAGTTTACAATACTAGCAAAAATACTTTCTGCAAGCATTTTCACAATTGCAGCACTCTTGGAAGGGCTGCAGCTAAATTTTTTTATTATGGCAGAACCCAGAAACATTGCATTGAAAAGCTGTTTCAAATGGTCCAAGACTGAAATCGCTAGATTATGTTCAATTAAAAAATGAACAAAATAGCATTCGTTCATATGGCATCCATTTCATCACCTTTTATAATGAAATTTGTTATTTTAGATTTTACATCAATTTCTTTATGTTTTTGAGAAAGCACATGCTGGTTACAGTCATCCTTTCCATCATGTGCAGTTGAAAAGTCTTTGATACACACAATGCAGTGTGCACGATTCAAATTCTGTAGAATATGAATCATTAAATTTCTGGCTTGATGATTTTAGCTTCTTAGTTTAAAGCTGCATAATTCACAAACAAAACAAAACAAAAAAACTTCCAGCTAAATCACAATTCAGAAGATATACATGAAGTCTTTCACTGTAGAGAATTAAGTTACAGAGATTAACAGCCAGAGTTTACTTATCTATGACTGGCTGTTCTTCAAAACCAGCAATACACTCAACATGTGATACATGATGTCATGAGCATTCAGTCAATCTTCGGATGAATTAATTTATTCCATTTTTTGTACTATTTCTTTTGCTCTCTTTTCTGTAAAATCTGTAATTTTTTCCATGTTTTCCACAACTTGTAGTTTTACGAAAACTTTCATACAAACTACAGAGAATCCATAGTAGTTGAAGTCTATGGTATTGTAAATCATAATTTTTAGTCCAACTTTTTTTCTTCAGTTAGTGGTTCTTAATGATGGATAATTTACTAAAAACAAAATTTTAATTTACTGATTTTTTTTATATTATTTGAAAAAAATATTATTTACACTGTGTTTTCACACTTAGAAGTTCTACTGAAGAATAGGAAATCTCATTTCTTTACAAGCAATTATTTTTATGTTAATTTCTTAAGGAGCATTTTAGAGAATCTACCTATAAAACACAAATGGGCCTATTATAAATTACATTTTTAAAAACTAACTGGGTTGCATGCACAGAATTCATTATCAACCTTCTGACTTCTCTTCTTGAGGTGCTGTACCTACAAAGCATTACTACCTATATTTCTATAATTACTCATTATTTATTTTCATAAACTTCACACTATTAAAATGTTTCATTCAAGAAAATAAGAAAGCAAAGTAATCTTATAATAAATCTCATGACCAGGTAAAAGTGATTCAACTATTCAAAGGGCATTTTAAGAAATACTGCTTGTTTTAAAGGAGGAACCAGTTTTGAATTTCAGCAGGATAATTATGAGCTACAAGAAATTTTAAAATCTGATAAATTGTCCATATCAAAAAAGTATATCCAATTCCCAAAATTCCCCCTGACTCTTGTGAAGTTAAAATTATAAAATTTTCATAAAAGTGATAGCTATGAACAATTCTGAGATACTGTATCAAATACAAACATGAAGAAGCCTTACAAAAGAAAAACAATTTTAAAGTTGAAAATAGATTTTCTTTTCCCTTCTTAATTAAGTTACTGTTGCTTAAAATAGTATATAAATTGATAAAAAAATAAAAAGGGGGGAGATGAATGATAATTTGAAGCACAGTATTACAAGTACACAGGAATATCTTTATTAAAATAATTAAAATTTTATGTCAGATTATTACTAAAACTCTTCAATATATCTGAGAAGTTACAAGAGTAACATTAGAACAATTCTGCACAGCACACAAAGTTGAATGTATTAGAAATCAAATTCATGTTTTGGATTGCATATTATTAAAATGACACTGAATTTAAATTTGATTCTCTACATGAATAACTCAGAATATAATGAAACAATAGCACATTTTGTTCATTCCCCTAAGTAATTAAGATAACACAATTTTTTTTTACATTGATTGCATAAAAACAGATAACTTATTAATATGCAAAAATGTCACTGAATAAGTGAATAAAATTCAAGTAATACCTCCTTCATATTCATTTAAGGCTTCAGCTAAAGCATCAATTGACTCAATGTCTAAATTATTTGTCGGTTCATCCTATGGAAAAAAAGTATTGTTAAAACAAAAAGATGAAAATTTTTTATCTATAAAATATTAAGTTCCTATCTACTATTAAAAAAGAAAAATTTAAACACAAAGACAAAAATATACCAATATTAAGACATCTGGTGCTCGAAGTGCTAACTCTGCAAGAGCGACTCTAGCTTTCTGCCCGCCCGAAAGATCTCTGTTCTTGATTGTATGAGCATGGCTCACAAGACCATAGCTTCCTAACTGCTTTCGAGCATCTTGGTAATTTAGGTTAAACAACCTCTGAAAGAAAGGGGGGAAAGAACATAAATTTCACATTACCTTAAAAATTTAGCAGCAGTAATAAACTAAATGAAATATAAACTATAAATAAAATGACATTTTACAGAATTTTCTTGTTTATTTAACAGATTAAGGAATTGATAACATGAAAACTGGATGATACTGAAGTAGGAATTAATCACTTTTTACACTACGAATGCATTTTGGTTGATAAAAACTATATGTCACTACTAGAGACAAACAAACAGCCTGAATTATCGATTTAATTTTGAGATTTGTAACTTCATGCAATTAAATCTTTTGCTTTAGGAAAACTACACCTAATTTTTCCCTCTTTTAATTTAGCCAATAAAAAGCAATTGCTTAGGACAATGTGTTTTTTGCTACTACTCTATTATTCCTTCACAAAAGGAGGAATAATAAATACACACATACAGCCTTACTGAATTAATCATCCAAGAATTAACACACTTAAAAAAGATATTTTATATATTTTCATAATTATTTTGGAATAAAGTAATCAAACTATCCATAAATATCACTCATTATTTTTTAGCTAATTATTAAAAAAATATCATAAATTCTTATCATACTTGAAGATATTCCACAGGTGATTCATCGAGATTCAACTGTTCACCGGAATGCTGATCAAATTTTCCAATTCTCTACAGGGGAATAAAAATATAAATAAAGAAAACAACTGCTTTGTTAACTTGCAATTAAACACACTTTACATAAACTCAATGCGTAAAGTTTTCTTTTTCGCATATGTTATTTCCTAGCAAAAATGCCATTTTACAAAAATATAAAAATATAAACTAAAAATATATATTTTTTTAGCCTAGAAATAGTTCAAATTAAATGTATGACTTAACAATCATGATGAACAAATTCATAAACATCACTTACAAGTCGATGGTTCTGCCGCTGTTCACCACGAGTCTGAAAGCATGAAAAAGAACATTACAGTATCAGCAATAACTGCAGCTAATGTTTATGGGACAGGTTTAACTATGAAATTAAAAATTTACACATATTTTTGCAGTTAAAAGTAAAAAAAAAAAAAAACTTTTAAACTTCTGGACACATCTTGCCTGAAAAGTGGAATGACACATAAGTTTAACATAACAAAGTGGCTTCATTCTTTACAGTTTATTTCCTGTTGGGCAAGATACTGGCCATTGTACTAATAGGGGCAAGCTAGCAAGTCATTTATATATAGTGCTTTTTAATCAAAAAGCTGAATTAATGCAAGATTCAAATAAGCATAACCTGCAATGTAGTATCATAAAGTGAAAGTCAAATTTCTGATTCAAAATAATTATAATCAAAGGTCTTCAATGAAAAAACAAAAACTTTTGCTTATAAATATATTCAGCAAAAAAAAAAAAAAAAAAAAAGTAACTACTACAGCATAAATTGACGGGTTATAGAATGGTTCATAATAAAATATTAAGTCCTACCACTGTGCACATTAATAATTTTTTATGAAAAAAATCAGCTCAAATAAAAGCACAGACATGGAGGTAAGAGTAAAAAGAGACACCTTCCTCCCTATGATTGACACAGTACTGCTGAGCTTTGAAAAGGGGGTTTGTTTCATTGACATACAGAGCATGTTGACAATGGTTTGGTAGTACTTCTACACAAATCGAAAAGTGGGCACACTTTTACAAAAAAGAAACATTCATTGCGGGATGGAAGAAATTTGTACAGTTTAGTGGCATTTCCACACACATCACATCTTTCAATAACTTGCAACAGCAATTTTCTTATGAATTTGTTTTATAAAATTCTAAGCTACTGGACTACAAAAACAGATTTTAGCAAAGTGCTTATGTCATGTGTAAAGAATGATTAATACTTTAAGGCACCTTTAAAATGTCAAAATAGTGCAAAAATGTAATATACTTTAGAGCTCAGTTTTCTTATAACTAAATGGTATACCAATGAAAATTTGTATATTTCTTTCGAAGTTCCTCATAGTATATCTGCTTCTTTTATTTTATGTTCCAATACCAAATTAGTTACTAAATATATATAAAAATTTACAATGATTATAAATATTATCTAATTATATAATGACCTTAATATTTAATTGTAAACAAAAATTGAATTTCAGTAGACAAATATATTCATAAAACTACTTAAGCAAGAAGTGCTAATACTGAAAAACAATCTGTTAGAATATATTGTAAAGCACAGTCTATAAGATACATACTTAAACTAGTAGTAAAGCAGAATTTTTAGAATGTGTATTGCTAAAATCAAGGGTCAAAAAATTCTGATCAAGTATTAAAAGAATTATTTCCTTACATTTTATAATAATTCAGTTACATGTATTAAACAGTATTAACAAATCCCTTTCTTATCCGTTTTAGAAACACTCATAGAAGGTTAAGTACATAGAAATCAGAAATTAGCAGCAATATTTAGCGTATTTCATTATTAAAATGAAAAGGTGCTCTTATTTGAAATGAGCCAAATAGAGCATTAATTATAGTGTGGCAATGATTTTCACAATGACACTTGTGTATCTGACAATGATTTTACATCTAAATTTCATTTCAAGAAACTTTTAATTTTTTGCTGGCTTTATTCGCTACCAAAACACACTTATACTCTAAGGAGATGTTTTAACATATAAACACTGCATATCTGCACTAATATCTGAGTGTACAGTCACAAATATAGACAATTTTTAACATTTTAAATAGATGAATAAAAATGATGCTGTGAATCAAAGATTTAGCAGTTTAATGATTTTGAATATCCCAGAAGATAAGTAGAGTGCTAAGATCACAGCATCCAGAAGTAATCACTGATTATAAATTACTATTACTTGAAGCAACTCACTAAACTTCTTTCTCAAACATTATCTGCTTAGTACACAGTAAAATCTGGATATGTGCGTGATCCTGGACATAAGACTTGCTTTAGTATATATTAATAATTTTACATAAACAATATATTCCTTTTACAATTCCTATTTACAATAAGAACAATGAATTCTGCTCCTGCAGTTCCAGTGGTCTTTTTTAACTATGAAAAGAAATTAGTCCTTTTTTGTTATGACGGGAATGTACGCATAAAAAGAGTTAAAAAAGGTTGTTTTGCCTAAAATTGTGTAAAATACAACTGAATATGAAGATAAAATTGAAGGCAGAAGTGGCATTCATTTTGCAATGCACTAATGCAATTAATTCCTAAGATAAAACATGTGATAAATAAGTAATACTATCCAATGCAATCTTTCTTCAGTTTAATTAAAATTTCTTAATTTAAGGAAAGAACAATTATCTAAGCATTCTGAGCATAATATGGATAAAATTTAAAATTCTAATATTTACAGTAAGCATAAAATATACTGTAAAAACATTTAATATTTTTTTGTAATTGTTTGAATTATTTACATTTGTGTCATAATTGTTAAGAATCAACATACATCAGAATATTTTCATTTCAGTGAAACAAATAAGAAATTTAGCTTCATTAAATGCAGTTAATAATCAAAACCTTAATTTAAAATTTTTAAAAATGCAATATAAGAATTTACATAAAAAAAAGTAAATGAAATATACATACAGGAGATAATTCTGCAGTTAACAGCCTTAAAAATGTAGTTTTACCTACACCATTCGGTCCAACAATTGCCACTGAAAGGTAAGAAAACACTAAAATTGTAAAAGTGCAAAACAGTGATTGTATTTTAAAAAGGTTTAAAAACATTTATTTAAAAGTAATATTATAAAGAATTCATTTAATGCTAATATTGTTTAAAATTACAATCACCCCTCCTCCAGTTTTCCAAGGCATCTGAACACACTGATCAAAAGGAAGACTAATCTACTTTTAAAAAAGTGAGAGAGAGAGAGTCAATTAATGGCTGCTTTCAATTAATGATGTAATCATAATTCTAAAAACATTATACAAAATTTTTCAAAGAATTTTTTGGGAGTTTTTTGTTTTTCAGACATCACACTAATTAGCTATATTAAAAAAATACTTAATTATCATTACCTCAAATTTTCTTGAGTTAGACTATTAAGAAACACTACTGTTTTACTGTACTGAAAATATTAAATTCCAAAACTTTACGAATTACTGATTCTACCCTCTTTTTCTTTCTTTATTTTTATTTGAAAATTTTTTCACAACATTTACAATAAATTAACATAAGCTAGTCTAATGAAGATTTTAGCATTAAAGATTTTGAATTATGATACATTTCATTTACTCTACAGGATAATTGAAAGTTTTTAACGAAAGTACATAGTAAATTAAAAATATACAAAACAAATGCATTTATTTACTACACCATGAAAAAACGAACACAGAAAGCTATGATTAAAATATTCCATGCAAAAATGGTAATGACTATATATTGAATATGCCGTAAAATTACCATCCATTCAACAAAATCTTAAATAACGATACACATTACTATAAAAAGAATACTGGACTTGTAAAAGCATACATTTTAAATTCTCAAAATATTTAAAATACCTCCTCCCCACCCCACCCCCATGTTGGAGACTATAATAACGTCTAGTTAACCCTCTGACTGCTCAATTTGTGGACCGAAATCGCTTCAAAAATTGTGTAATTTTTTTTTTTTTTTTTTTTTTTTCAAATTTTAAATCTATATATATTGGAGAATTGAAAAATGCATTTTTTCTTTCTAGAAAATATTTTTATATAGATTTTTATCATGAGAAACTAAGTTGCCAGAAATACCAATTTTTAAATGTTATCACCAAAAAAAATTTTTTTAAATAAATTTCAGTTGAATTACAGTTAATTTCTATTTATTGCATAATATAAAAGGTAGAATTATAAAATTTAAGAAATTATAAAGCACTGAGGAAAAATACATTAAAAATGCAGTTTAGTATGATAGAGTTCAAAACGGGGTTCAAGGCAAAGTCCAACTTCACAGTTTTTGCACGAGATTCAATAAATCTAATTAATAATCAATTTAATTATTAATCTAATCAAAAATCTAATTAATAATTCAATAATTTAATTAAATAATTAAGATAATTGCTGAATGTTTTCGAGCGGCCATATCTGTATGAAAAAAGCGGCAAAATGTCGTGTTTGAGCGGTAATACCACGTGCCTTCAAATGCCCCAATTTAGCGGACAACTAACGATATTTGTTGTCGAAAACGTAAACTAAACATCTAATACTGTATATAATTTATTTCAGTGGTCAAATGGGAAAAAAACGGGAAGCGCTCATCAATAAAGGAAGAACACATCTCAGCGGAAATCGCGGTATGAGCAGATTTTGCTACATTTGAGTTGCCCGTGGAAATCGCGGGATAAGCGGCCAGAGGGTTAAATTATCCTAAACTGTAAATTTTTATCTAAATAAATTATTAACTTAAGAAACATTAACTTGAGAAATTTTAGAAAAATTCAAAGATTAGCACTGAATTATAGTACTTTCTATTCAAGTGATAAAATTAAATTATTCATATCAATCATGCATTTACTACACTAAGCATTACTCACTATTTCATATTTCAATTATTTTTTCCTCCAAGGGAAACAAGTCCTCTCACTAATGATTTTTTTAAATAAATTCATAAATCTTAAGTGCTGAGACAGCTTACATATTTTTTCTTTTGCACTACAAAAAATATGTGCGTATGTCACAAGCAAAACAAGCAATGCAATGTGATGAACATTTAGAGATTTTAAACATATGTGATGATGAAAACATGCAAGGTATTCTGGTTTTAATGCTTCTACATTGAGTCTTAAAGAAATTTCATGAAAATGACATTAACAAGATTCAGAAATTTGAATAGATATTGGCAAAGTGCACTTCAATTAAAAGCGATTGCTTTGAAGGGGATGCAAAAAATTTTGATCAGTAAATTGAAATCTTGTGTTTTATCAAATCAGCTCCCACACTTTTTAATAACAATAGTAACTTCTATTTTACTTCAAAAAAATGAGACAAATTACTATAATTTTAGATTAAATCAAAAAGTAGAAAACATGCTATTGGTGAGCATGCGAAATTTAGATGAAATGTTCAAAATATTACCACTAAAGTAAAATATCACGATATAATAAAATGAAAAAAATACCTCTTGAGGACATATCTATACCAAAATCAACATTCTTAAAAAGCAGAGGCTGACTAGGATATCCAAAGTCCACATCTGCAAAAGGCACAATAAATATTGCACAAAAGAAATTTTACAAACACTTTTCTCTAATTAAATTGATATATATATATATATATATGATTCTGAAAGCTACATTACATTAAAACCTAGAATTTAGTTAAAAAAGCTATAAGTTTATTAATAATGGCATTGAATGAAATGTTATAGATATTAAACATATTTAAACATAAAATATATATATGTACATTAAAAACAAAATAATACTCTTAATGCATTAACTGTAAGGATTCTGTTTATTAGTAAGTTATTACAATAGTAATTGATTAATTAGAGAAAATACAGGTTGAGAAATACAAAGGAACCATTCTAAAATTATGAAGAAAAAAGGAAAAAAATATATATTATAAATGGATATTAAAAGAAAAAAATATTTATATTTACAATTGTATTAAAAAAAAGTACCTTTAGTAAAACAGATGATAAAAATTGAAAGAAGAACATACTATGCAAACCCAATATGGGTGGATTCAAAGGTGGAGGATTTGGAAAATGGAATTTAACCAAATATTCTTTAGGTCTTTTAATTAGTTCTGTTGGACCTGCATCAGAATCATTCTGGCGCTTCTGCTGATTTTTCTGCTGCTTTCGAGTTAATGCCTCTTTTGTTGCTTTTTCCTTGAAAAGTATTTGGAAAGATATTTCAGCATATATTAGCCTAATTAAGAACATCACAAATTCCTTTATTTATAAGATTTAAACCCTTTTGTTATTCATCTTTACAAAATGAGGATCGGATGTGAATTTTAATAGTAATCACATAACAAATTAAGAATAACTTTAAGTAAATGAGGAGGTTTGAAAGAAGTTCTTAGCTGATTCATAACATTTTCCATAAAATATTATCTAATTATAAAATTGAAATGAATATTAATAATAAATTTTTAAAAAATGATTTATTTATTTAATATGTGTTGTAATAAGCTAAATACCAAGAAACAACTGCAAACTACAACATATACCATAGTTAAAATTCCAAGCAATTTGATGACAGCCAAACATGATTTAAGGTATTAATTTTGATATAAAAACAATCTATATGATAAAAAAAATTTACTACTTGACAATAAAAACAATGTATAAAAAACTTGCAATTACCAAATTTAATAAGAAAAGTTAACATTACATAATTAATTTGGTGACGCTGTTTGATTTTGCAAATTCAATATACCACATCAGCTATCCATAAAATGCTGAAATTACCTACATTTTTATAAAAGTATATTTCACCAGCTAAAAGAAGACTGACATAAGACATAAAGCTACAACATAAATACATACATCTGCAAACGAAAAACAAATCACTTCACATGTCCATAAAAACTTTTTATAAATTTGATCTAAAATAAAATTCTTGATTAATAGACTGATATTTAAAAAAAAGCCCTAATATACGGACTTTTTTTACCAAGAACAATAAATATATAAAAATTATATTCTTGCATTTAACTAAATATACAGGTTTGTCAGTTTGCATTACACAGCAGTAAAATATATTCATAATCAAATTAAGGAATGACTTGATATTTTACAAATATATTTTCACCATCTTTATAAAAACAGGCTTAAAAAAATAGCTCTTACAGCAACTTTGGTAGATTTCCCAGATGCTTTCATTTCTTTAAGTCGCTTTTCTTGTTTCTCATACTCTTTCACTAATTCTTTTCGCTTTTGCACATACATTTTTTTGAACTGACCTAGAAAATATTTAAAATTCAATATGCATTTTAAAGTAGTGGGATGTCATTAATTAAAAGCACAGTTCAATGGGCATAACATTTCATTTATGCTTATCACACATTTAGGATTTAAATCAGCATCTTCCAACCAGGGCATCACCCCCAATATCACAAAAAAAGTAAAAGATATAGGAATTTTAAAAAATCCTGATACATAAAAACTTTTTTTAAAATCAGAAACAGTTTTAAACTTTGGCATAAATCAGAGAAAATATTTAAATTCTGGTACAGTTGAAAATGATTAGCAAGGATTCATAAAGTTTTATAGCTTTGTTCTTAGTTATAAAATCCAAATGAGAATTAAGAGCAAACAAAACATAAATCCTACGAAGCCAGAGAATCCAGAAAGGAGAGATAAAAAGAAAACGAAAGTCACTTTTTTCTTTTTAGAAAATGCAATCATCTCCAAAATTCTTAAAGGTTCCAAAAACTCTCCTCATCGAATATGGGAAAGCCCCTGAAGACCATCTGCCTACTGAAAGGGATGCCTTCGTAATGACTTTTCAAGGGGAATTTGTTGGATTTGAACCCAAGTCAAGCTACCAGTATTCAGTGGTCTTAACCACTCAGCCACTAATGACGTCCTTGATATCTTGAAAATTTAGTTTGATCACTTACTAGTTGAAAGAATCTTTTAGAAGTGAAAGCAGAATAACATTCGGCAAAAATTCTGGTTAACTGCTTTTTGTTGCATTAAATCTTCCTTCGGTTTCTATTATACTAGCAAGTATAACAGACATATAAAATATTCCTTTTAGATCAAGCAAATAAAGTAAATTTCATTTTTTAACAAACAGATTTCTATTTTATAATCAAACTTTTAAAATATTTATCTTTCTCTACTTTATCTTTTTCTGATGAAACATCTTATATAAGTATATTTTCATGAAACTAAAAATTTGCTCAAACATCCACTAACTTTAACTCTCTGAAAACCGAAGTTTTCGCTAACCTGTAAGCATAAAATACCGAATCGCCCAAAAAGGATTTCGAGAGTCACAGTAATTTCCTCCCCTTCCCATCCATTAACGCACAAAGAAAAGTGAAGATTTCAAATGTCATCCTGTCTTTTTCCTAACAAATAAAGATAAGAAACCACAAATAAATAAATTTAGGACAAGCTGTCTGCAATAAACTGATACAAATCATTTGAGGAAACTGCACCTGCTACTGCATACCTTAGGAGAGGGAAGAAAACAACATTGGAATTTCGGCCGTTTTGGGCAGTTATGGCCGTTTGAATGAAAGGCCGTCTGGGGCATTATGGTCTTCAAAGAGTTAAGACACAATAACACGTCGAACAAATACTAATTCAGAAGTCAAACAACAAAAATCAGTTTTATATTTTCAAATTTTCACAGGACTAGTTTTGATGGTTTTACCGAACCACCATCTTCAGCTGCAAACCCGCAAATGAATGAGATAGAATATAATGATCAGATAAGATAAGAAAGCCTGGACAGAAGATAAGCTAGCGGCGCCATCTGTTGATGAAACCAGAACTAAAACATAATTTCTTTAAAGGCCAGACGCAAAGATGGATTGGAATTAGGATCGTTAACTAGAACAGAAAGATTTTTTGAAATGTGAAATGCCTCTAGAAAATCCAGTTCTCCAATAATTTTGGCAGCAGAAAAATTGAAAGTGTGATTTTCGTACCAACAATGTTGGGCAACAGAAGACTTCTGTGTTATTTAAAAGCAATAGCTGTTGACAGGGGCTTTTCATCCAACATTATTAATCAAGCAGTTAAAAAATTCTCATCTCAACACACTAAAAGGCACACTATTGTTTTAGGAGATTATAAAAATTCTGTTGTCATTCCCTTCTTTCCATCAATTAGCTATAAATTTGCACATATTTTGCAGAAATATAACTTTCGGGTCGTTTATTCTCCCATCAATAAAATTCCGAGTTCCATACTCAAGGACCCCATTCCAGATATGAAATCCTGGGGTATTTATAGGATTCCTTGCCAGTGTGGCTTATTTTACATTGGCCAAACTAAGAGAGCCTTAAAATTTCGCATCAAGGAACATGAGGCATATGTTAGAAAAAAGGAAACACAGAAGACTTCTGTTGCCCAACATTGTTGGTCCGAAAATCCCATTTTCAATTCCTCTGTTGCCAAAATTATTCAAAAAACATCTTCCATTGGAGAGAACTGGATTTTCTAGAGGTATTTCACATTCAAAAAAATTTTTCTGTTCTAGTTAACGATCCTAATTCCAATCCATCTTAACCTTCGGCCTTTAAAGAAATTATATTTTAGTTCTGGTTTCATCAACAGATGGCGCCACTAGCTTATTTTCTGTCCAGGCTTTGTTATCTTATCTGATCATTATATCCATCTCGTTCATTTGTTCGGTTTTGCAGCTGACGATGGTGGTTTGGTAAAACCATCAAAACTAGTCCTGTGAAAATTTGAAAATATACAGTTGATTTTTGTTGTTTGACTTCTGAATTAGTATCCACTAACTTTGTTAGCTTCCTGTGTTTTTCATTTTAGCATTTTACTGACAATTTATTTGGAGTTTGCAGATTTCAGTTCACAGTTTAAATGTACTAAAAGCAAGAAAAAATATTCGATTCCAATGTATTGTGATGATTTTGTGCATAATTAGTTATGAATAACTATTTCTATTGTGTGCAGTTTCTTGTCTTAACAAAAGACTTATATTTTGGTTCAGAAATGGGCTTGAAATCTAGGAGAGTTGTGATTGTATTAATAATTTCAGATATAATTATAATTCATGTGCATAAATTGAATTTAATGTGTTATTAGAGAGGCATTTTCAATGTAGATGAAAACCCAGGGAAAAAAATCACATAAAATTTTTATCTGAATTCGTACTAAATAGGAGCATTATGATATTTTACCAAAGTAATTACTCACAAATCAATGAGTAACTTCTAAATTGCATTACCAAACAACAAATTTAGTGAAACACATCATCTTTATCAAAATTTTGTCTCAGACTCATATTCATTTAAAGAAATTTTCTGCTCATTTCAGTAGAATGCAACAATGATCTGTCTTCTCTTTTAACATTAAAAATTAACCTTTTTTTTTTTTTTTTTTTCCAATTCAAAAGAGGTATTAGTCTCAATTTTCTCTTTTAATTGAATCACTTTTGCACTATATGAATTTTTATGTCCATATTACTTGTCAAATAAAGTAATACAATGATGTCAATTATCTGAAGAAGGAATGCTTTCATCACATGAAAAACAACTCAGAATATGCAACAACAACAAATGAAATCAGGACAATAAAAAATATCTGTCTAAAAACCAAACGACTAAAAAATAATCAATTCAACATCCATTATCACAAGATGAAGAAGATTTGACATCATGGGAAAAGCGAGCTCTTCTGAGCAACAATAATATCTGAACTATTTCAGACTTTTATTTTTATTTTGTAAACTGCATATTAAAAGTTTATCCAAAAAATTTTATCAATTAAACCACAGATTGAAGAAATGATGTATGCAGATGGGACTCAGGTCTCCCTTCTTGAGACTGAGCTGTAATTGAATATCTAAATCTGTGAAATAATGGTAGTTCCATTCTCAATGCATAAAATGTCTGGACATATAAATTTGTTGTGATTTTTTTTGGAGTAACATATGTAAGTAAGGTTGTTCTTTTGCCTAGCCAAGCTTTTAAATACTACCATCTACATACTACATGACACTTTCTTGCTTACTGCCATCAGTATAACCTCTGTTTGCTGTTTTACCACCTTCTCTATTCCCCCCCCCAGGTCAACATAGAGAACTCTGCGAAGCTACTGGCTAGGATCTATACCTAGGCAGCCTCCGCCACAGGGGATAAAATTTATGAACTTTGTGGTTCTGAAGGCCCTGGAAAGGTCCCTTTATAGGCCGACCTCAGGGGTCTAGCAAGTCCTGAGTGGTATAGCTCTAGTAACCAGGGGGGGGTAGCACACCCTGGTTTGCTGGGTAATGTCCCACTGCGATGGACAGCCCGAGCAACTAGTAGGTAGCAAATTAACAACCAGTGCTGCCTGGTAGCCCCAGGTGGAGCACTGCCCTCTCTGAGGGGCCACAGTGATGGTTGAACCTCCGTGCCTGGTTCTGAGGGGTGGGTAGACCCGTAAATGGCATTCAGTTCACGCAAGTGGGGAAGCCAAAAACTTACCTTCTCTATCCTTTAAGATGTAATATGTGTTATGAAAGTGGGGGGGAGGTGCAGTTTCCCCAGCTATTTTGTATCAATCAAGGATATGCTGTACCAAATAAAATGTATTTGAAAGATGTTTGAAGAGTATCCAAAAATAAATTATCTGCTGGATTTTGCACATCTGTCTGTAATTTCGCTCATTTCATCTACTATGCAGAAACTTCAAGCGAAAATTATCTCTCGTATAATCATTTTGATCACAGCTAACAATAGGAGTGGTTTCATCTTCTCTAGTCCACTCTCTGCTAAGTTCTATCAACATACAACTGCTAAGTTCTATCAACATATCAACAACAACCTCTAAATTATCACGCATATATATATAAACTACATAGAAATTATATTAAGCATATTGTTGTACAAAAAGAGTAATTAATCTGTGCTAGGAGCAAATGGCTTTATTCAGCACAGTTCTGATTTAAAAAATAAGCATAGTCAAAGCAGCAATTAAAGATTGTTAGAGTTACAATACATATCTATTTATGTACAAATATGTAACAATTTCATATAACAAATATTTTATCACATATAACAGTCTATTTTATTGGAATATTCCATAAGAAATGAAACTAACATCCATAGAAAACATCTGCAAATTTAAAATATAAACATTAGCAAACTATACACAAATCTGTAACTTACTATAATTTCCTCTATAGTAAAATAACTTCAAGGAATCCAAATGAATTATGTCTGTGCAAACATTATCTAAGAAGCTCTGGTCATGAGATACTACTAGCAATGTTTTTTTCCAAGCTTGAAGGTAACTGAAAAAAATATGCAAAAATAAATATTAGAGAATTTTTTAAATAAATATGTAAAATATTCCTATCTCATGTTTAAAAAACTTACTTATCAAGCCAAATAACAGCATTTAAGTCCAAATGATTTGTAGGTTCATCCAACAAAAGCAATGTAGGTTCCATAAACAGAGCCCTAAATCAAAGCAGAGTTAAACATTTATAGAGATACACTGGTGAATTTTTTAATATTGTTATATAATATATATACAGTGGATGGACAAAAATATGGAAACACCTTGTGAAATGCATGTTTGAAAAGAAAGACTGATTTTAATGAAATATGTAGGTGGTGCTGTCGTTTTTGACTTCTGACGCCACCTATACAACTTCGTAAATGTGCTAAACAGTTCAGTTGTTGTCGGAGTACTGTTATGTGAGGTTGTCATTGCATTATGTCAGAGTTAACAGACTTCGAACGTGGGCAAATTGTTGGAGCACGTATAGTAGGTGCTTCCATAAGCAAGGTAGCCGAGGTGTTTAGTGTTTCAAGAGGTACTGTATCGAAGATTTATTCCGCATATTTGAAAAGCGGAAAAACATCATCTGCTAAATCACAGCGCGGACGAAAGTGTGTCCTGAGTGATCGTGACAGACGATCATTAAGGACAATTGTGACGAAAAATAAGAAGACCACAGCTGCAAAAGTTACTGCTGAAATGAATGCTGTGTTACCGAACCCTGTGAGTACCAAAACAATTAGAAGAAAGCTTCATAAACAGGGAATTGCTGACCGTGCTGCAATTGAGAAGCCACTCATCAGTGATGCTAATGCCTGTAACAGGAAAAGGTGGTGTTTAAGTCATAAAGCCTGGACTATAAAGCAGTGGAAGCGAGTAATATGGTCTGACAAGTCTTCTTCACATTGTTTCCCACTTCTGGCCAAGTTTACGTCTGAAGAATGCCATCTCAAGCCTATAATACAGACTGCTTGTTGCCAAGAGTGAAACATGGTGGGGGTTCTGTTATGGTTTGGGCAGCCATATCGTGGTTCTCTGCTTGCCCCATGATAACTGTGTCAGGGCACATGACTGCCAAGACTTATGTGAACATTTTGGCCGATCAAGTTCATCCCATGGTACAAACTTTGTTCCCCGATGATGATGGTGTCTTCCAAGATGACAAAGCCCCTGTTCACACAGCTCACATTGTCCAGGACTGGTTTTCTGAGCACGAGGATGAGTTATCCCATCTCCCCTGGCCACCACAGTCACCAGACCTGAATATTATCGAACCTTCGGGGTCTACATTGGAACGGAAAGTGCGTTCTCATTATCCACCGCCAACATCGTTATCTGAACTTGCCACCGTTTTGCAGGAAGAATGATATAATATTCCCTTGGCAAACATACAGGAACTGTATTTATCCATTCCGAGAAGACTGCAAGCTGTTTTGGATGGCAACGGGTTTCCTACACCATATTTAAGCAAAGAAACATGCTTTTTAAAGGTGTTTCCATATTTTTGTCCAACCTCTGTATATATATATGTGTGTGTGTAAGATATAAGAAAATACGACAGCTGCTTTAAAAAATAATTGGTGACCTCAAAATTAACTATTTTAGATTGCCCCCCAAAAAAAACTTTAAAAAAAGCAGAGTAATAAAAGTACTTTAAAAAATTAAGCATTGTTAATATATTGTCTTTAATAAAATTCAACACAGCATTTTATTGATTTATCAATTTAAAATTCAGCCAAAAACAAGAGCAATCTCAGTTCATCATAAATTCATAAATTTTGAATTAAACCGAAATTTTGAATTAATTTGCACAATTTTGAACTACACAGATTTTGAGAACAATCAGGTTTTAAGTGGCAAAATAGATTTCTTTGAAGTTTTTCACATTCACAAAAATTTATCTTTAGATAATGTTATGAATTCTAATTCAAGTCTTTCTAATGCTTTCAGAATTCTCATATCTTCGTTTTCACATTTCATTAACACTTTTCTTCAGAGATAAAACTATTTTCATTTTTGCTTTGTTCTACCCACAACTTGATAAAAAAAAAAAAAAAATGTTTGTCACTTCCTCCATTTTAAAAGAAATTGTTTTTGCTCTTGAAAAAGTGAAGAGTGTCTGATCATTCTTAAAATTGTTAGAGTTGAATTGAAGATCTAGGCCAAGCCAAGGTTGTTTTTTGCCAAATTGTTTCTTTAAATTTAATTTATCAATTTAAGAAAATTTATGATACCTTTCACAATACATATATACAATTTGACTAATATCCTATATATCTTAATAAAATTAAAAAACACATATTAATGATCTTTCAGAGTTTAGAACAAACACTTTGTTCTGGTAACCTTATTTAATAAACTTCTCAGTAATGGAAATGAAAAAAATTTAAAAAAACATACAGCATGATATAGCCAAATAATTACAATTTACACCCAAACACTCAACACAACCACACAAACAATAACCCAACACTACTTGGTCCAATACTTGTCTAATTTTATAAAACAATACACTACAGTTTTACTTCAAGTATATAAAAGTACCTGGCCAGAGAAACTCTCATTCTCCATCCACCAGAGAAATTTTTTGTAGGGCGGTCTTGCATCTCACGTGTGAATCCCAAACCAGCAAGTATACGACGTGCACGAGCTTCAGCAGAATCTGCTCCAATAATTCTTAATTCATCATAGACCTATTAAAACCAGCATTAAAACTGCGCTCTAAATACACACATAGAAAAAAATAGAAAATTAAACATTCTTAGTTTCCTTACTTCATTAAGTCTCTCTTGTTTCTTTAAAGAGCCTTTATCCATCTCTGTTTCCAGGTTCTTCATTTCATCTAATAACTCAGAACGTTTAGTATCAGATTTTAGAACAACTTCAACAGCTGGAGTGTCATCTGCCACAACCTCTACAAAATGTTTAAAAAAATTCAAATGATTAACAGTGATTACATAGACTGAAAAAATAAATTAAGATATGTCTCTCTCTGAAATAATGTAAATTTGCTCTCAAGTCTGAATGCCATGATTAAACTATTATTTCAGTATTAGTCACAAGCTAAATTTAATAGAATTCTTGCAAAAATCAGGAAAGACAATAAGAGTTAAATTTAAATTTATTACCCAACTAAACTATTTTATACTCTTAATTTGAAAGAATGCATCAACATGAAAACATTACCTGATCTAAGTTACTTTGTATTTCTAGTAAATTAAGATGTTCAATTATATATATATATCAGTTGTGCAAACTTACAAAATTTTTGCACTATTCTTTTATTTCATACCTTCATATTTGTAATAGCAAGCTAAGTTAACACAAAAATAAATTAATTTGAATAAAGTTATAATTTTTTATGTAAGTAATTTATCAGTATCTCTAACAATGTTCAATCATAGAAATCTTCAATATTCAACTAGTTTAGCAAAGCTCGATCATAAAAATTTGTTCTGTTTGAGAAAAAACTCATCTCCATCTTGCACCACATAAAATGTAAAACTACCAGCATAAACTGCTACTGAAATCTGAAATAATTTATCATATGCAACAGTAGAAAAGCATCATTCATTGAAACAATTTGATACTAATATAAATTTCATACTAATATCAAATTTGATACTACTATCAAGTGTCAATTGACACTAATATCAATTTTTGAATTCTCATAGTTTTTTAAAGTTTGATGTTTATGACATTTAGATCATCCTGTATTTTAGCTTTAGTTTACATCAAATTAAAAACAACACGCACATTTTTATTAAGAAAGCAATAATTAAAAAATAAATAAAAAGTAACAGTAGTGAAGTAGGAAGCTTTATGATATAAATAATAATGATTAAAAATATGAAACCGTAATTTATGAAATAAAGAACAATTATGATCTAAAGGGTATCAAAATTTACAAAAAAAAGCTTAATATTTATTTGTTTACTTTATTAAACATTTCTTTCAATGTAAATTGTTTAAATTGCTTCGTTTTTTACGTGATAATACATTCTCTTTAATTCTATAAACAGACATAATTTCTTGTTCAGTTACAAAGTTCCGCTGTTCAAGTCCTATAATTGCTCTGTCTATCGACTAATTTGTCAATCAAAATTTTTTCGTTTTCAATAACCTCTGTCACTTTCTTCGCTTTCGGAAGTGAATTATAATGATGAGGAATTTGATTTAAATCATATCAAAGACGGAACACATCAAGATGAAATACTACATTTAGTAAGGAATTATAAGCCAAATAAAATAAAAACATCTGCCCTGAAGATAAGGATAGTGCTGACAGATCAACTTCCAATTCATTGCGCGCCCGCCCGCCGCAGCATTAAAGATAAACAAAGTTTAGATAAACAAAGGATATGCCTTTATCCATTTTTTACAGCAATTCCACTTTTTGTTTAATAAACTTCGAAATAAACTTTCGCTTTGTAAATACTTTACATTAAATATATATCAGAAATTCTATTTGACATAATCGAAAGTTCAAGCTTACTTTTATAAAATTGCTCTAACAGTTTGCAAAAAATAATAAGCCGGATCCAATTCGGAGATTAAGGAACAACGCAATCTACAACATTAAATGAAATAGATAATTAGATAATTTTAACTAAGCTTATACCATCCGTTATACATTAAAAGTGCACTCGTAAACGTATTTTGCGCATGCGCACAAGCAGATTCGCAGCCGTAAAGGTCAACGCGGCGCATGCGCAGAAAGTTTGTAGCTTTGAGATCTGGATTATAGATCATTCCGGATTATGGGTGTCCGAATTAACGACTTTTGACTGTATATTGAAAAATAAAACAAATCAAAAAATTAAAATAAAATATAAGAAATTATATATGGTTCCATCAACAAAAAATCATATAAATTGTATTTGGCAATGCAAAAAACTCATATAAAAAGGCAATGTTAAAATTATGAAATAACATATACAGCAATATATGTTTGACTTACCTTGTTCACACAACAGCACATCTATAGTTGGGGGTATGTTTAATGATCTGTTTGCTATATGTTTTAACAATGTTGTTTTGCCATGCCTAAAAAGTATTTCAAATGTTGAAAAAATCAATTTCTTTATTTATCAAACATTAAATTTAAAATTACAAGATATTTCTTTCAAATTATTCATAAACTATTTATAAATATCTATTTTGAATTAATCTTCAAAATTAATAGTTTTTATTTATTTATTATTAATAGTATTAATTATATTAATTATTATTATTAATAGTTATTATTAATAGTTTATTTCAAAATTAAAAGTTTTATTGTAATGATGTTAGCTTTCTTAACTTCTGAACAAAATTCATTTATTCATATATAACTGTAAATTTAACATGTTCTTTCTAAAAATAAAAAAAGCTGCTCATTACAGAAAAACTCATTTAAGTTATAAAACCCAAAACTGAGTATGTATTAGCTAAATGGCATGGGTAATTAAAAATATGCAAAAATACTTGCCCATTCGGCCCAACAAGTCCATATCTTCTTCCAGCAGTGATATGTAAACTAGCGTTTATAAATAAGTCTTTCCCTCGAGCTGATATTGAAAAATTATCAACCTATAAAATTTTAAAAATTAATTTATAATATAAAACCTGCATGAAAATCTACATAAAAATTTGTAACAAAACATGCATAATAGAAAACATTATTCCAAATACATTTTGTAACACTGTAAACCATGAAATATTTTATTATTAGATCCAACAGTAACAGAAAATGTCAAAAGCAAGAAAAATTACTGCATCCTATAAAAATTACTTTATAATACTGCTGTAAAATTACTTTTAATTACATAAATTTAATGTTCTGTACATTAAATCTGTTTTTTTTTATTTTTTATTTTTTTTAATTAAAGAATAACATTTACATTGCAAGTTAATGCACATAACAGCTTAATTATGACAAGATTCTGATTTGCAAAACAGCATGCTAGTATGAAATTTAAATTCTGGTAAACTTGGCCTTTAAAAATTTTAATTAAGATAAAATTCCCTTTAAATTTCATAGCACCGGCTTTCTTTTCTCCAAAGAAAAGGGAAAACATGCCTGTCTACTTTGAATTATATAGTTTTTCTATAAAATGGCAGTTCATTAGGCTTAGCTCACCACTTAAATTTTTAAATTGCTAATAATTCTACAACTATTGCATACAGATTACCTTAAGGAACAAAAACCTTACCCAGAACATAAAAACCACATAATTCAATCATTTTTAAAGTAAAAATGCAAAATTTATCAACATATCAGAATAAAAAAACCGGGTGCACCGAGCCAGGTAACAGAGTGGGAATATATATATGCATTTGGCTGACTGATTGCAACAAAAAAAGGAGGTACACAACTACATGTTATAGCAATCCCGTATACAAAATTTCAACATTCTACTACTACTCCTCCTTGAGATATACAAGATACATGGGGGGTGAAAACTCTTCTGAATCAATTTTAAAATCCTTTTTGTCAAAAATAGTCCTTTATTTGTACAGATGTCGTAAAAAAAAACATCATTCAGATGGTTTTGAGAATGGTTGAAATACAATAACCGAAATTTTTCACATTCTTTACTTCATACAAGGAAGTAAAAAGGAAGACAGAAAAATCAGAAATCATCTATATATGGCAGTAATTAAAATTCTCCATCAATATACAGATCAATTTAAATACAAAAGAAATAACTTAAAGCAATAATATTCAATGCTAACAACATTTACAACATGCAAATACAAACTACATTTCTCATTTTACTAATAATGGGGAGTACCGATTTGTCTCTCTAATCTTAACTTTCATTTTATTAAGTTCAAAGACCAATTGCAGCTAAAGATGGTGGTTCGGTAAAACCATCGAAACTAGTCCTGTGAAAATTTTGTAAATATAACGCTGATTTTTGTTGTTTGACTTCTGAATTAGTATTTATTTGGTGTGTTATTGTGTCTTAATTCAAAGACCAATTTAATATTCAAATAAAGAAAGAAATGAAAACAGCTGCAACAAGAATCGGCATGATATATGGGAGCTTTGCACTATGTGTTTGGAAGATTTTAACCTTACTTCCTTCTTTGGTTGCAAAAAAAAAAAGGGGGGGGGAGGATTTATAATAAGACCATGTATAAAGCAAAATCATATCATATTTGAGAAGGTTTTTCTGCAAAGCAGGCAGCCCTATGATTTAAAAAAAAAAAAAAAAAAAAAAAAAAAAAAACTATTGGTTTTTTAAAATTTATTTTATGTTGTTACTGTTATGCGAAAATTTAAGTGAAGAGAAAATTAAAATGAATTAATTCAAGAAACCAATTGCCTAAAAGTTAAGAGTTAAAGATCACTACTCTAATCATTAACCAAAATAGAAATATTTTTACAGCTGGAATGCCTCCAGAAAATCCAGTTTGGCAATTTAAATTTTTTTAAACATTTTTAACACAGAAAAAAAATTAGAAAACTTTTTTTAAAACTAGCAATGCTGTGCAATGAATGATTACAAATTTCACCTTTTCCAAATTTAGGTTACATCCTTTCTAATGCAAAATTTGAAGATGCTGTAATTTGACCAATGCACACTAAATTACACCGACAAAAAAATTTCCAAAAGATTACACTTTAAATAGGGTCTTTAAGGATCAAACTGAGATTTCATTATAGGTGAAAATATGACATAAAAATTAAACTCATGTTAAATACATATAATCTTTTAACTTACCAAAGGAAATGCTAGAATAATAATAAAATTATTCTGATTGCTAGATTGCTAGGAATGCTTTCTTTCTTGTCAAATTAAAAACCTATACATGTTTTATGAATGAAACTAGATGAGAAATTTCTGTCAATCAGAACAATTCTAGTAAATGAGCTGCGGGTAAAAAAACACTTGCTTACAAGAATGACAGAATTTGGTACTGGACTTAATTCAGGTGGTTTTTGTAACACAAAGCAATATTTAAACCTGATCTACTGTGTAACTGCTACAGACTGGAAAAAAATTAAATATTTCTAATCAAAATGAATGGTCTAGCTGTTATTATTTAACCCTTTCCGGCACACTACATTTTAAAGTCGGAGTTTTGAAAAAAAAAAAAAAAAAGTAGGCAGTCTAATTAGGCCTAGAGGAGTACACAAGTAAAATTGTGAAGATAGCATTTATCGTTTTAATTCTGTGTGTGTGCCTAAAGTGGCACACTGATTGAATAGAGCTTCGGAAAGAGTGCTGAAACGAGCATTGTTGTCAATGAACTGACCAATGAGATGCGGAGAAACAAAGAATACAGACTCTCAGTTGTCCTAGATTATCGGTGAGCCCGGTCTGGGCACCCTTAGAGTTCGCCGTTTGATTTTACGCAAGATTTCAAGGTAAGAATTTAAAACTAATATAGAGTAAGGAGATTAGCATACAGTCAAAAAATAGCATAGAAATTTCTTTTCAAACAATTCCTTTTATACCCTAAAAAAAATCTGGAGGATTTCTTTGAAAAATGAGTGTCTTAAAAAACTAAACATGGCTGGACTGGTTTGTGTTGAGCTACTATAAATAAAGAAGGTTCAGAGTAACCTATAAATCCTTTTTCATTAAACTGTGCGTACAGAAGGAAATTTTTAGTTGTGTCCAGACCGCACACACTGTGCCGCAAAGGGTTAAAATCAAACTGGAATTCTGATAATAGCAAAAGAAAGAGAATAATTCTTTTACAACCAATGAAATTTATTTCTTACTATACATCAAGCAGATAAATCACTAAATGTCCATAAAATTCGATACACAGAGATTCAATTTATTCATTGGTAATTTTACTATATCTGAGTGAGTTAACATTTAAGCAGGTTTACTGTAAATACACTTTTATAATGATTTTTTTATACAGATTTTACATGAGAAATAGGTTTTTTAGTAAAAATATATAGTCAAATCTTGATATAAGAAAGAAGGAATTCAGAATTCATTTCTTGTAATAAAAATGGCTCAAGAATAAAAATGGGGAAATTTAAATCATAAAAATATAGCTTATGAGGGGGATATAGTTAAACGACAGCAGCTTCAGAAAGCAGTATTTTTAGCTTAATTGATAGATCTTTATACTGTACTCTTATCATATGCACATCCAAAATTCTGTTACATAATTCTCCCCTTAAGAATTACAGTACATAACAAACTGTCAATCACTGAATGAAATACAATAATATCAATATTTCTTATTACTGTAGGATCAAAAAGTGCAATTATGCAGATTATTATAAAAGACTATTTGAGAAAAACTGAAAATAATGTCCAAGCATGAAATTACTGTAAACTAGTTTTCCTGAAGTCTTATTACCTGATCATGTAGAGGAAATCCAGAATTTTGGAATTTACTTTTTTTTGTATTGAGAAAATCAGAAGGGTTGATAACCTTTCTACCCTGGATTCTTAGGTGAAAAAGAAAAATACCTACATCCCTTTTATAGCTCGAAATTATCAGAATATATATAGTTTAATAGACAAATTTGAAATTTTTCATGCCAAAATTCTGATTTTTCTTATTTTCTTATAAAAATAAAATCATAGTGCATTAACATTTTTTTTTCTAATCAATTTTGTTTTCCTTATAATGAGAAATTTCAACATTAGTGTATTAATCGGTAAATGATGATAATACCAGTAACCTGCTGCCGTCATTTGACAGTGAAATATATCTTATATCTTCAACTTTTTTCATTTTTGACTGGTATTGTTTCGCAAACATATTCAAAATCACATCAGATTTTTTTTAGGGGAGTGCATTTTGTCTTTGCCTCCATATGAACCTTGTTAATTAAGATGAATAACATTAAAAAAATTTTTTTGATGTGAACTTTGTACGGAATATTAAATTATATGCATATTTTGCTGCATTTCATTTAAACTTATTTCCACAAATTTCATTGCAGATTCATTGCAGATTTCTCATTCAATTAACTCAGTTCTCACTTCGCAGTAAGGAAATAATGCGTAAAACCTCAAAATAGCTTCATTAATAATTCAAAAAAAAAAGAAGAAGAAAACAGCAAATACAGTTAAAACAGTTTTTAAAAAAATCTTTACAATTAAAAATTAGAGTTTCTAGGGATGAACAAACAATTTGGCCAGCAGGCAACAAAGCAGCTTTTTCGGCACACAAAACTGAAAGTTTATTTTTGGTCCCACTTGGAAAAAAAAACATTGAGGATGCAGAAGCTGACTTAACCCTCTGAACGCCATGATGGCTTTATCCGGTCATGAGATATTTTGTCACTTGTTATATATTAGCTTATAATTTAATATACTTTGCTTTCTTACTTTCATTAATAATATATATAATGCCACCTTGATGAATGCAAATTCATGACAATATTAACTAAAATAGATAAATATACATATTTAGTCAATAAAAGTTCTTTAAATGCAGGTCTTCATGACAGATCCAAAAACCGCAGGCTGCTCAGAGGGTTAATTCACTAGTCTGCTAAGTTCCAAACATAAACAAATATGGTTGCTACAGTAAACAAAAATTAGGCTTAGCCGAACTTAAAAAACTTTTAAATTGTTAATAATTCTACAAATATAGCATGCAGATTAACTAAAGGCATAAAAACCTTAACTGAAAGATAAGAATAACATAATTCAATGATTTTTTCAAAGCAAAAAATGCACAATTTACCAACATATAAAAAAAACTGAGTTCACCAAGCCGAGTGCAAGAATGGGTGCGTATATATATATATATATATGTGTGTGTGTGTGTGTGTGTGTGCGTAAAATATAAAATATCTAATATGTAAAATATAAAATCTAGCTTTCATATAATAAATAATTAGCCCTTTAACTTTTGTTTCATTCTAAAAATAACAGCAATAAATTTTACTCCCTGCAGTTCTGATGCACACTTGCCGATGAAATCTGAACCCAAAATGCTGTACATTAAAGTGTCACATGATCTGAAATAATATATTTCGGTATAAAAAGGGTATCACAGCTCTCTCTTCTTCTCTTTGTTCGTCTCTTCAGCTGCTTTCTGCTGTGTCGCTAGCTACGCAAAGTTTACTTTCCTAAATTTGTCCATTTTTAAGATGTAAGCTGAACAAAATAAAGAGATCATAGCACACCTACAGTGATAGTGTGCATTATCATGCAGGAATAAAACTATTTGTGGAATTTAGACCATGTCTGTAAGTTTTTTTGTTTTTTTTCCTACTATTTTATGCCTCCATCGTTCTAACTACGCAGCAAGGTCTTCAAGTTATGATGCAGTCCTCTCCAATGCCAATCTGTTGCAACTCTCACCAATTTATTTTATTTCAATAGTAATGCAGTTTTATCACACACACACACATATATATATGTAAGATAAAAAATATAAAAGCAAACTTCTAAATTTAATTCACTATAACCTCTTTTATTTTCTATTTCATTTGGGAACTTCATCTATCTGTCCTAAATATAGCGCTTAAATCGAAACTGTGTCATTCAAATTAACCATACGATCTTACATAGCCCTTAATGCAGATGCCTCTTGACCAATCACAAATTGCAAACCGAAACTTTTCTCTTTGCGTGCTTCCATCTTTCATAATTACGCACTTCAGCTTTTGCTCTTTACTCTACTAAGATGTAATTTCGCTGGCTTGCTATCTCAACAATATCAAAAATGTAAATCTTCTGTGGAAAGGCACGACTAGAGTGCCAAGTGATAGTGGCCACAAATTATCATTTGCAAATAAAAATGGAATTAAAATTGCCTCAACTGCCAAGTTCTTTAGATATTACCAAGTTAACATTATTAGCATACTAAGCAATCAAAATTCTTCTTCAATATGGATCTTAGCATGCATCAACAGTGTTTCAGTTCCGGCATTTCCTTGTGCTTTTATTATTTCATATGTATATATGTTATAGCAGTTCTATACACAAAATTTCAACATTCTGAGGTTACTCGTTTTTGAGTTATGGAAGTGTTTCAGTTCTGGCATTTCCTTGTGCTTTTATTATTTCATATGTATATATGTTATAGCAGTTCTATACACAAAATTTCAACATTCTGAGGTTACTCGTTTTTGAGTTATGGAAGATACGTACATATGTAAAAAACTCTCTTTTGAATCCATTTTAAATCAATTTTATAATCCATTTGGTAAAAAAAGTCCTTTATTCTGTTCTTACGTGCCGATGTCATGCAAAATTTGATAGCTTTCAAAATGGATATTTTCATTGAAATATGATACCTGGAATTTTTTGTGATTGCAATACTTCCTTTACTTTGTACAAGAAAATAAAAAACAATAGTAAGCACATGCTTTAAATTTATGTTAAATGCTTTTCTTACCTTAATGTCTACTGCATTTTCTAATTGTATCTGTTGTGCAGCTGACTTTTCTGCCTGAGATACTGTAAACTGGTCATCATGTGTTTTTCCAGCCAGAGTTTCAATCTGTTTTTGATAATCCATCTACCAATGAAAATTAATGATACATGATGAATCTTTAATTCCCAATATAAATCATTATCTTGACACTGTTTTTAATTAATATTACCACATTTCAATCTTTCATGTGATAAACTTGCACAAAATATACAATTTAAAAGTAATACATATTCAAGATTCATGTGAATTTCATACATATACTAACATTTAACATTTACATGCTCATTTATAAGCAATTCAAATTTTAATATTTACAGTGTAGTAAGGGAGGAAACAGCTGCAAAAATTTGTGGTCATAAAAAATAATTTTTTTTTTTTTTTTTTTTTTTTTTTTTTTTTAACAATCACATTTGGTCTAAATTAAACAAAACATTTGACAAATTCCAAGCACAGAAAGAATTTTTTCTTAAGCACTTATCAACTGTTCACTTAAAATTATGTATTATTCACAACTTGATTTTGCTTTAGTGAATGAAATGGGACTCTTGATTTCTAATTCTAGATTTTTCTTTTATTTTTAATGATACAAAATACATCACTATTACACATTCTCATTTTTTAGATCAACCACAATAATATATTTAATGAAGCTTAATATTTTAAATTTCTACACATAGAGGGAAATATGAAACATCTTTACTCTAACAAATGATGATAGCTGTAAAACCTGTTACTCAGTGTACTTCAGCTTTAAATGCAACATGAAAACACGAATGAAAAATAAAGAGTATGTCATATAAATTGGTCAAAATAAAACATACTGCATTTCGTAATAATGTTACTTATCAACAATTAGGTCTGCATAAGAATTTTGAAGTTTGGTATTTAAAAAGTGAATATATTTATCAAGTATTAACATGTCATTTCATTAAAAGTGTGCAAAAATTTCTTGTTATCATTCTAATTACAATGGCGGTAGTTTGTTGGTGAAATATATGTTTGGCATATAATAATATGCTGTAAGGAATTTTCTCCTTCTTGTTATGTACACTTTGAAAGCCACATTTGGCTAGCAGCATGTCCTTCATGCTATGCTGTAATTGAAAATCACATCTGGCTAGCAGCACATCCTTAGTGGTGTAAGAGAGAACCCTGTCTCGTTAGCAATTAGGAGATCTAGAGTTTGAATTTCGATGAGGGCATATTTCTTGCTCAGAAATAAACCTAATGATTTTACAGAACGTGGTAGAGAATAATTTATCACTACTTGGAATAAGTGCTTGGGTCCCTTCTTCTTCAATTGCCCCATGAATGAAAGAGAATGTAAGGAATTTTTTTCTTTCTTATTGCACACTCTTTGTAGTGTATAAGGAAACATGTCTGGTTATTAAATAGGAGGTCAAAAGTTTGAATCCTAGTAAGAGCCTTGCTATACAATTTTTCATGTTTTCAGCTCAGTAAACCTAATGACTTTATAACACTATCATTCAATTAAAATATCTTCGAGCATCAAAATTCAGAATAAATAAACACAGTTGATCTCAATATCTTAACTACTGTATATTCCAGTATATAACATGCACTTATTTAAAACTTCATTTTTTACTTGTTATGTATATTTATTGCAAAACATGTTCTCCTTCCTTTATGAAGAAGATTCATTTGAAGATATTTTTCAGGCTTTCGAACAATGGTATACTGAACTGACAAGTGTTTAGGGGGAAAATATGCATGTATGGGAAATGCTTGAGAGAGTAAAAAATTCTGCAAAGAGGGTAAGTGATATTTATTGCAGGTGTGAACCATAGAATTACAAGAATGTTATTCTATGATTTCAAGAAAAGAGGGACATAATTTGTGGTAAAAATGCACTTCCAAACCGAATGATTTCATGGAATTAGAAGTCAGATGTTTTTTCATTCTGTAGTCATTTGAAGCCATGATTTTGAAGTGAACATTGAAGGCTTTAGTTTCAAATGAAAAGTCATTCGATTTTGAAAAAAAAAAAATAAATAAATAAATAAAATAAAGAAAAAGAAAAGAAAATCATGCTGCAGCAAGATGGTTGGCATTGGTGAAAACTCCATATGTGAGTGAAAGAACAATTAAACCATGAAAATTAATATGTCATCTATGGCATATTAATAGTTGTGCTTTCCTTAAAGGAGTAATGGAATGACCTACTCTACAAGAAAGTGCTGCGAACTGTTCTTAAAAAATCGCTAGAATGGATTAACTGCAACAAGAAACAACATACGTTTATTTGTCTTAAAGTGAGTGAAAAAGAATGCAAATGAAAGTGAAATTTTTAAAGAAACTTTGAGTTGGTGTACTTGATTTATGGCATGGAATAATTTAGCTCTAAGAGAAAAAACACAAGTTTCATAGAGGCTTTTAATTTGGATAATAAATTGGTAAGTATGTTATTGACCTATAATGTTAACAAATTATTTAATGTCACATGTTAGAAGTATGGAAGAAACTCCAGTAACATTTGATATGATAGGAAATAAAACAATTGCTGTGAAAGGAACTAAAACCATTCAAGTAAAAACAGGCCACGAAAAATCTAACTTGACCATAATGCATTCCTGCTTATCAGATAGTGTAAAATTAAAACCCATGGTTATTTTTAAAAGGAGGATGACACCAAAATGTAATTTCCCAAATGGTATTTTCATTCATATTCTCGAGAAAAGATGGATGGATGAAAAGAGTGTGAAACTGTGGATAAGAAATGTTTAGCAAAAGTGCTCTGTTGCCTTAAAGAATCCAAAAAGTCTTTTAGTTTGGGACATGTTCAGATTCCATCTAATAGATAATATGAAGAAATTGTTGAAAGAGTATAATACAGATATGACTGTTATTCCAGATAGATTAATGCCATTAGTTCAGCATTTAGATGAGTGTATCAGTACAGCATATAAAAAAGTTTAAAACAGTAATATATATAGATGGTAGAAGGTGAAAAATTATTTACAAAAAGATGCCAAATGGATCATGAAAAATAGAAATCAATCTAGAAATAGCATGTAATTGGATAACAAATGCATGGAACAAAATTAGACCCAAAATAAATCAGAAGTTGTTTAAAAAAAGCAGTATATCTAACAATCTAGATGGAACGAAAGATAATGATTCATTTATGGATAAGAATGAGATGGTGAAGAAGAAACAAAATTTAAATTATGTCTGAAGATAAAAGGGATGATGAATATGACAAAATTTTTCATGTTATTTGATAATGAAATTTTTTAAGCTCATAAGGTATGTCATTTCTTTTAAATAAGCAGCATTCATGCACACGCAGAAATCTAATTTTTGTAAGAGCATCTCTTATATATTTTAAAATACATCATTTTTATATCCATTGTATAACATGAACCCATTAATTTTGATCTTTTATTTATATTAAAAGTGCACATTATACGCCAGAATATACCATATGTGCTTATCAGTGTTGTTCTGAGAAGCAAAAGTTACGTATTACTCTGTCTTAGATTATAAACATGCATCTCTATTTTCATCTACTCGAAAAAAGCTGTAAATTATATATTTGAAATAATTTAGCTATGAAAATTGCACCAGCTTGCTCCTTCATAAAAGCAAAAGTTATGTATAACTCTATCTTGGTCAATAAATAAGCATTATTTTTTCTATCTACTTGAAAAAAAGCTGTAGATCATATTTCTCAAATAATTTAATTATTTAAATTGCATCAGCAACTTTATCCTTCCTAATTACAGAATATAATTTCATTAAAACTGTACTGGGCAATAAATTTATTGTGGAAAAAAATTAATGACCATACACATTCTGGTCTTGCTATGCATGAAAGATGGCAGGTAAAGACAGAAATAGCACTTGCATACTTTATATCATACATGGAAGCTCAGCATTAATACAAATATTTATAATTTATTACAATTATAATACATACTACAGTCAAAAGTCGTTAATTCGGACACCCATAATCCGGACCTCAAAGCTAAAAACTTTCTGCGCATGCGCCGCATTGACACACGTGCATAGGAGTTTACGCGTGCGCGTAAGACCTTTACGACTACACATATGCGTGTGCGCAAGTGCAGAATACATTTTTGCGTGCACGTTTAAACGTATAATGGACGGTTTAAGCTAAAATTATCTAATTATCTATTTCAGTTAATGTTGATGATTGCGTTGTTCCTTAATCTTCGAATTGGATGCGGCTTATTATTTTTTGCAGACTGTAAGAGCAATTTTATAAAATTAAACTTGAACTTTCGATTATGTCAAAAGGAATTTCCGATGCTGGAGCTCCCAAAGGATCTACAAAACGAAAGTATGTTTCGATGTCCATCAAACAAAAAGTGGAATTGCTGCAAAAAATGGATAAAGACATGACGAATGTGACAGAGAGGTTAGTGAAAACGAAAAAATTTTGATTGACAAGTTAGTTGGTATTCTCGGCACAGCAATTAACGGGACTTGAACAGCGGAACTTTGTAACTGAACAAAAAATTATGTCTGTTTATAGAATTAAAGAGAAAGTATTATCACATAAAACGAAGCAACTTCATAAATTCATAAATTACAGTTTCATATTTTTAATTTTAGAATTTCTGCATGCCATCTTACCAGATTTAAACTGATGATCTATAATCCGGAATTGCCGAAGTCCCGACGAGTCTGGATTAACGACTTCTGACTGTATAATCATTCACAGATATAAGTACAGGAAATTGCTTTCTGATATGGCCAGTTTAAGCACAAAAGAGGGGGGGGAAGGAAAATGTTTGAAATTTAAATTTTAAGATCACAACATAACATCTGTAAACTGTATTTTTTAAAACTGAAATACATTTACTATATATATCTAGTACATAATCTTCAAAAAGAAAAAAAAATTTTGTATATACTGAAAACAATAACATATACTTCCAGGTATTTAAAAAATAACGTTTTCTAGCATAATATTACTTGTGGCATAAACCCATATATAAAGTGGTTCTTGCTTAGCTGTTCAAATATTTAGCTGTCCTTGTTTAAATGTTACATTATTTTTTAAAAACATATGTAAGAAGTATGATAAAATGGCCAGGCTCCTTCCTAATGACCTTGTTCAGCAACGCCATGCAGGTTAAATTTATTAAGTCTCACAAGAGAACAAGAGAAAACGGCATCAAGAATCATATTTGTTTATATCTCATTCTCAATATTATCTATGGCATAAAATTTTAATACTCTTTTAGTTTGGCAAAAGTATGACAAACAACATTGACAAATTATACCATAAATTCACATCAGTCATAAATTCAAATTCCATCAGCCAAAATTAGAATTGGATTTAATTAAATTTAAGAACTGAATAATGAATTTTACAAGTGAGCAAGAAAATAACTTAAAATGGTTAATTTCTGAAGAATTCAATGATTTTGTAACTTGTAGGAGGATAAAAGAAATAACAATGAAGTTACAATGCTTATTGAAGATATTAAGGTAACAAGATTTAACCTAATTTTCATAAATTTGCAGGACTAGTTTTTAAAGTTTAAATATAGAATCTGTTTCTTCAGCTGGAGAATTAAAAATAATGAAGAAGAAGCCCGTGCTCAGAAAACAACAGACCAGAAAATTCAAGAAACTTCCAGTAAGGAAAGAAATTCCTTTCCTTCTTTAAAGGAACTGTTATAATTGCTTGTCTTTCATCGTTTTCCTTCTTGCTGCTAAAGAAGATTCTGTATTGAAACCTTCAAAAGTATACAAAGTGGTTTTGGCCTTAGTATTTCCAATAATCTTCATTTATTGTGCTATTTTAATCAGAAGAGGTTATTATTCTAATAGTGAAATGTCTTTGAGGACTAGATGAAAACTTTTTGGGTATTTTATATTTTACAGAACTCTTTAGATTATTGATAAGTTGTTATTTCATTTATGGTTTGTTGCAACTTTTCATGGTAGCTGGTGCTTTTGAGGCAAAAAATTCTTTTCTGTGTTATTGCTCCTGCCTATTAAAAACTTTTTTTTTTTTTGTTTGTTTGTTTGTTCCTGAAGAAGAAATGATTTGTGTCTTATTGCTCTTGAAATCGAGACAGTTTTATTTAAAATATATGTCAAACATAGGTTGTTTGTTAGTCCAAAGGGACTTTGTCCCTGAGAGACTATTGTCTTCATTTTGCGATTTTGCATTAGTTCACTCTAAATGTCCGTTTCACTTTTCAAACTATAGCCATCAAATATTATATTTGAAGAAATTAAATAATGAAGAATCTGCATAAATGTATGTATGTTTCCCGCATTGTGATAAAGCAACGGTACCTAGAGCCATCAAATTTTGAATGATGTAATCCTATTGCGAATATAGACATCTGGAAGCCCAAATTTGAAATTTGTTGAATTATCAATTTCATATTTTGTAAAACTTTAACGAATTTTTGATTAACAAACTCAAGGATTTCAAAGTGAGCAATGGCAACATTGTAAAGAAAAAACATTTTTATTTCCAGAGCGTGAGACTGTGTATCGGAAATTCTAATGAAATGCTCAATTTAAAATTATTTTGCGATATTGCTCTTGAACTGAATTTTATGGTTTAAGTGCAAAGAACATTATATTTAATAAATAAAGGTAACACACAAAATTTTAAAAAAACTGCCCCTTTCAACATAATTTAAAATCGGAAACCTTTCAGATTTTCTTTTTTTTTCCCCTAATTTTAAATTTGGCCATACCATTATTAAACATTTTTAGTAGTTTGGACTCTTTGCCAAAATTTAAAGAATATTGCATCTACATTCTAAAAAATGTAATACTGTGTGTGGTCAGTTTCAAACTTCTGATCATCTTAATTCATCAACACGGTTTCTCTACACTACATTTACTGACTACAAATCAACTTCTGAGCAAAAAAAGAAAGAACCATTCTTTCAGCTAAACATCTTTACATCGTGAGGTTCTATTCTTCATATCACAAAATGGTTGAGACAGGTGTTATAGTTTGTAAACTTTTTTTAAGTTTTGTTAACACTTTCAGGAAGCTAGGCAACAATGATACTGCTTATCTGTTTCAATGCATTGGTATCTTGAATGGTAGTAATGGAGTAATAGTGACTTGCATAAAAATAAATTTCTATATTTGATTTCAATTATTCAGGAAATCCATGCTAAACGTGTAACAATATAACAGTTTTGTACTGAAAATATCAAATACAAATTCATAATGAGTATTCTGATACTAAATCTACACTCCCCTTGTTTAATAGTTGATTTAAGCATGCATACAGAACCAATTGTTTCATTTTAACTAAATATGCTTATGGCATCATTTTTGAAATTCACAAATTCAGTAAGAAGTAAAATTAATAACAGAATATTTCGATATCACTAATAATGACAGTGCTTATATCATTCACTCAAAATAAAAATATATTTTAGAATTACTTGATTTAATTTGACAAAAAATATGACATTCCTTTTCAGTTCAACTTATACTTGCAATTAGAATAAAAAATTGTTTAAAAAAATTAAATTAAAGCTGAAACACCAATCCTGCACTATTATCATATCATGAAACGTACATCATGCAAATTTAAAAAAAGGATAATCAATAATAAACTTACTTGTTTTTTCATTTTTTTCTTTTCTTTATGTGATAGTTTAACTTTAGGTTTTTCAGTTTCTGCGGAAACATTTAAGAAATTATTTTATGTGAATATATAGATAAATAGATAATCACATACATACACATATTTGAATGTAACACTCTGAAACTTTTATTTACTTCAAAAGTAAAATATTCATTTCGATTTATTCAGTATGGAATATGACAACATACAGGGAAAAAAATGGGCTTACACACCTTGACTTACTATAAATTAGGCTAATAAACCTTGTCTAAAAAAACTGTTGCCAGCCCACAAGCATTTAGATATATAAAAGTATTAAAATTATAAAATTAACAATTGGTTCTTTGTTTTTAAAGTTGGCTAGGTTTCTTTCAATGATTTCCTGTATGCATTGAATGGGACACAAATCAAGATATTATAGGCCATAGTAGCATGTCAAGTCTATAAAAGTATTCATAGTAGCATAACATCTGACTTCATGTTGTCATATTGAAAAGCAGCTCCTGAGGCATCTTGTAATAATGGCTGTGCAAATGCTTGCTATGCTACACCACATCATCATTTCCTGAACAGGGCTATTATAACATTCTTAAAAGAATGATAATGAAATGAATGAAGGTTTGCTGATGATATTGACCACATGATATCCAAGCAAAAATACTAGGCTGAAACCAGTTGAAAGGGCCCACCAGGAGCAGAGCGGTAAAGTCCCGAACACTAGTAGTTTGTTTGAATTTGTTGAGGTTTGAATCCCAAGAACGGGTTGGCTGCATGGGCATTTTCGTAGTTTTCCCCATGTGTAAAGTGTTAGTCTGACCAGTTCCCCTTAGAAAGTACTCCACAAAAGCACCCCTCCCTTTCACGTAATGCATTAGAGCGGAACATGTAAATAAAAATAATAAACCAGTTAATGGTGTTACGTATATCTAAAATCTTAAATTAAAATAACATTGTATTTCATATGATAGGAAAACATGACAAACATAAACTTTAGATTGAAGTTTGATTTTATCAGAAATCAGTCAATAAAAAACAAGATAAACAAGGATCCCTCTCCTTCAAGTTGTAAAATATATAGGACAAAGTCCAAAATTCAGACATGTCAAGACTTAGAAGATTCTGAAGTTTAGATCACCAGTTCAAATTTAGTAAGATGGCCTACAGAAAATATAAAATTAAAAATCTGAATAGATAATTACAAAATAATGAAGTATTTGTGATCTTATGAGAATCAAAATGCTCACAAAAAAGAAAAAAAAAGAAAAAGAAAAAGAGAGAGCTTTTCTTTTTTTTTTTGTGTGTGTGTGTTGCTTTATTAAACTATAAGGTATTCCTCCTACCTTCTTAACATGGTCTTGTGATGGAATGGCCAGCATGTTTGGCACATATTTGAGAGGTTCGGGTTTCGAGTCCTGTCGTGGACACTGCACATTTTTCACGTTTCCTACTTCCAAACAACCTAGTGTCTCTACAGTGGCACCCGATCTAAAAAAGGTAATGATGATTCTCCCCCACTAGGATATGCCGATTGAGTTCCCTAATCCCCATTTGCCCTTTAAAAGGGAGAGTATTGTAGAAACTGTATTGCACCAGATGGCGCTGTGTGCCTGAATTCCTTTGAGGACTTCAGAACTTTGATGACTGTGAGTGACGTAACAAGAAATTGCATTAAGTGCAAATTGCAAACTAAGTTTATACGTGCTTCTTTATTGTAAATGTATTTTATTGTGTCATCAATAAAAATTGGATAAAATGACAAAAGGCGAGAATCAATGCTGCGTCTGACAGGTAAGCGAAATTTCTTTATTATTTGATTTGAATATAGAGTTTTACAAGAATTTAGCGAACGCGACAAAGAATGTATTTACAAGTATATAAAGTATTTCCCCTGCCTTCTTAGCATGCCTTTGTGGTGTAATGGTCAGCAAGCTTGGCACGTATTCGAGAAGTACAGGGTTCAAGTCCCGATGAGGGCATTGCACATTTTTTCCATTTCTTACTTCAAAACAACCTAATAGCTCTACAAAACCTTTTTTTTCCCATGCAAACTGTAAGTATCTTTTTTTTTTTTTTTTTTTGTACTAATACTTTTTCTTCAATTTTATATAACGTAATATTTATATAAACATAATTTTTTGTTTAGCTACAAAGTTCCAGTGATGAAGTTCCATAATTGCTGTATCAAAAATTCCCACTAAATTTTCAATATTTTTTTTTTTCATTTTCAGCAACCTCTCTGTCACTTTCTTCAGTATTGGTAGCGAAATTTTCTGGATTTAGAGCCATATTATAGATTATGCCATCTCTTAGTTAACTGATGACTGGGGAAATATCACTCTCCAATGGAAAACCACTACTATGATGACATTCCACTGCTTATCCAAGTCCTGAATAAGTGAATTCCCACATATACTTAAGGCTTATCTGAACAACAAATCAGTTATTCTTCATTCAAACAGTGCTAAATTTAAGCTTTTGATCTAGGAATATCATTTACAAAATCTATTTTCCTGAAAGAAAGTACTGTTATATTCCTCATCATCAACACACAACACTTCATAGGGTAACTGTCTGATGTCTGCAATCATCGCGAAGTATAATATCAATATAAAAGTTTACCATGCTATTAAAACTCAGTTACTAATATTTAAAAGAAAAAATTTGAATACTCTTCATTATGCAGCCAACACTCATTTCTGCCACCTGAACACTTAGAACAACAAAACAGTAGCTATTTTAAATAATAGCAGCACACTGAAAATTATGTAAAACAGCAATGAATTAATGTAATTAAAAAGCAAGAAACATCCTTATTGAAACACTAAAAATTACATAAAAGATATATCCACTATAACAAAACACTCAAAATTACACAAACAAATTAATTAAATGTAAAATGCAGCAAACATACATAATAAAACACTTAATTATTTTTACTCTGTCTTTTGTCTATAAGCACAAATCAGAGAATTGTAGAATTCTCAGTAGTGCTCTCCGTCAAACTGTTTCACCTTTAAATCGCAGAATTAAAAAAAAAAATTGGAAATTGGCACAAATCAACTTTATGGAATGCACAATCCTACACTATCTTCTACTAGGCAAAATGCTATATTTCTGACTATTGCAACACTTTCAAAACTTAAGTTATATGCTACTCTTGGAATCAGGCCTTCCCTCCCTTTCCAAAAAACATTCCTAAAAAATAAATAAATAAAAAATTGGTCTGGTTATCAGATTATTCCGTACAATGCACGATCTGAGTACAGACTTTATACTATACATATAAAAGGGATCCTTATCTTGCTTGAAATTGCTTGAGATTTCCTATAAAATCAATATTAGTCTAAGATTGCTTTCTGACTAATTTTAATTTTACATTACATTTATTCAAGGCTGGGGGGAGAAATATTTATTATTTAATAATTAATAAATTTAATGGCTGTATCATTTAAAATAGGAGGGGAAAATACCTGACATTAAGACATTTCTTAGTGAAACATCTCAAAAATTTTTATAAAAATGAATTTTATCCTGAAATTGCAGCACTAGCATTTCAATATTACATTTGACGACACAGTTAGTCTATATTTTAGGGTACCCCTTAGATTATCGCCAAGTTGTTTCATTTATGGTAACGTGAGTATTTTACGCTGAATGTTATGGAAACCCTATTACGATGTGATTGGTTGTAATGTATGATTGTGGAGATTTTGACTGTTGGGAAAATGTTTGTAAGGGCTTATTTATGCATTGTTAGTTAGGAAGAATGTTGCTCATTTTGTCCTTTACATCGTAAAATGCCTGCTGGTGGTACAATTAACCTGAGGTTTCTGTATGGTTTGGAATGAATGGGAAAGAAAGCATTGATTGACTGATGTGTAAATGCAGATTTAAACGGCTTTGTTCACTTCTCGGTAAATTACACAGTGAGATTTAAGGATTTGGAAACCAGAGCTCATATCAACACTATGGAAGGTACGTGGGGTGTAATAAAAAGAACTTTTCAAAAGAAATGTCACTGATGGCAGTACTGGGGATATTTTGATTTTTACTTTTGTGAATTTATATGGTGACAGATGTATACAAATCCTAGTTTAGATGATTTTAAACAGTTTTTGGATTGTGTTAAGGAATTCTGTGTGTACCGAAGAAATGGAAATTTTAAAATAAGTTGATATTTACTTTTTGTACTATGTAGATTAAATAACATGTATTTCCATTCTTACGTTATTTCCTTGTTTGATATAAAATGCAGTTTATTGAGATCATATATTTTTTATTTTAATCATGTTTTATTGCATTATGTTTTTGGATGCCATTTTATTGGGAAAGGCAATAGACATAGACAGAAATGGAGTAAAAAAAATCGTCAAATTTTGCCCAGGAGTACCCTGAAATATTTTTTTACCACCATTTTTTAAAAACATGTTTGGTACTTGAATAATTATTTTGTGATATGTCTTTTCCACTGCGGGAGGGGGATAGTTCTGCATCTCCCATTTTACTGGGATGATTGACAAAATTCAACTTGCATTTTTTTTTTTTTTTTTTTTTTTTTTTTTGTCTCAAAAGTGCGACTTAAAATATGCATTAGATTTATATATAACTTTGTTCTAATATAGGTATTTTGACACAAAATCGGACTTTTTCTGAAATGACATGCCATTTTTTTTTTCCATATTTCGATTCTACGACTCAAATCATGCCTAAATGACAAGTTTTGTAAAAGTCTCACAAGTAGTTTTTAAAAAATTAACTCTCAAAATTTTAGCACCTCAATGTTAATTGAATTTGATATATATTTATTAATATCTCTTTTTTTATGAAACTTACTTGATCCCTTTTTCCAGAATTCAAAATTTAGACTTAATCCAAATATAATTTGCACATTTTTTATGATTTAAAGTTTGTACTTTTAAATAATTATTATAAATTTTTCGAAACAAATTTCGAATTATAATCTATAAAATTTTTACCATCGTCTTAAAGTAGATGTATTTCTAGGCACACCTGCAAAAAATTAGAGTTTTTTATTCAAAATTTTCTAAGATATACATGAATTTACAAGTTGGAGCATTTTCAAGTTTGCCTTTTTTTTTTTTTTTTTTTTTTTTTTTAAAGCAATAATAACACCAAATGCGATTTACGCACTTTGTTAAGATTATTTGAGAGTATGAACGATGACTTTTTTCGTTCTTCTATAATGAAAAAAAAGAAAAGGAAAATAGGTTGCTATAAATTAAGAAGTTTGCTGAAAAAAAATTTTTCAAGATAAATTTTTGAATTTCTCCATACATTTTGCACAAAATTTTAAATTAAGGCATAATTTGATTAAATTAAAACATGGAAAAAAAATTGGCATGTCATTTCAGAAAAAGTCTGGGCTGATCTTTGGAATATGGTAACTGGTAGTTTGGCGACATTTTGGAGGCGATAAAGGTTACTACCTACTACTAATTTGGTATACGTTAGAGTGGAAGTAAACGTGCATGGAAATAATTTAAATATTTGACACTAAGTATTTGTAACCATTTGTAATGTTTGCGGTATGAATTAGTTAGTGACGTTTGTAATATAATAGATAATGTAGAGGTAAAAGTTTTTGGATATTTTATTTATTTTATACGTGGAAATGTTCATATTTGGAAAGGGTATATACTTTTTCGCGATCAGGTAATTTCATATATGTTCTTTTTACCGGGTTTAAAGATTCAGAAAATTGTCATGCATTTTCGAGAAATTTTTCTAATTTATGAGAAAAAAGCGGTGTACATGGATATAGTGAAGAGTGTTCTTTTTACTGGGTTTAAAGATTCTGCGTTTAAAATTGTCATGCATTTTCATGAAATTTTTCTAATTTATGAGAAAAAAGCAGTGTACATGGATATAGTGAAGAGTGTGCGCAATGCCATTTTTGTGCAATTCTGGGATGTTTTTTTAAGTAAAAATAAGTCGACGTGTACATGGTTTAGTGATATTTTAATTAAATGATAGTTATTTTGTGAATTTTATGTTTGTAGGAATTTGGTATACGTTTAAGTTGAAGTAAACGTGCATGGAAATAATTTAAATATTTGACACTAAGTATTTGTAATGTTTTGCGGTATGAATTCGTTGGTGACATTTATAATATAATAGATAATTTAGAGGTAAAAGTTTTTGGATATTTTATTTATTTTATATGTGGAAATGTTCATATTTGGAAAGGCTATATACTTTTTCGCGATCAGGTAATTTGATATATGTTCTTTTTACGGGGTTTAAAGATTCAGAAAATTGTCATGCATTTTTGAGAAATTTTTCTAATTTATGAGAAAAAAGCAGTGTACATGGATATAGTGAAGTGTGTGCGCAATGCCATTTTTGTGAAATTCTGGGATTTTTTTTAAGTAAAAATAAGTCGACGTGTACATGGTTTATGTGTATGTGTTATTGTGTAAAACGCGTAAGGAGTTTGCGATTGTGCACTTTTTCCCAATTTTGCAGTGAATATTTGTTATGATTAAGCAGTTTTGTTAGATAAAATTTCTAGTATAAGTGTAATTTGGCTAGTAGATTGTTGGAAAAAGTGTACAGTAAATAAAAAGAAAAGAAACATGTCTTTACTTCGTGAAGACAAAATGGCGGCAGAAAAAAAAAAATAGAGGGTTGCTGTAGCAGAGTTGGTCGCCAAATTTTCGCCAAGTTACCATAATCCAGAGATCAACCAAAGTCTGATTTTGAGTCAAAAACCTATATTAGAAAAATGCTATATATAAATCTAATATATATCCTAAGTCGCGCTTTCGAGACATGAAAAATGCAATTTAACTTCATCAATTGGCCCATTCAGCCTGTCGTTTCACTAAGACGTATACTAGTAGGATTAATCATGCACCTGAACACTGAAATCATACTTGCTACACAAATAAAAAAATCTCAAGTGTTAGAAATTATATTCCAGGAAATACTGTACTAATTTGAGTTCTGTAGAAATACTCATGTAGAACTATTACATCATATAGGGAGATAGTCATTTGTGATACTTATCTTTCATTTAGTTGCAGCTGAAGAAGATAATGAACTACTGAAAACATTGCTAAACTAAAATCTATATCAATCAATAATGTGTAAACTCTTAATCAACAATGTGTTTTCCTCTTATATTTATTTTACATAAATGCACTCGTTTTTACAAAATCCTGTAATCCTTTTTGAAATCCCAGGATTGTATGGTAAGTACAATATTATAAAGCATATATTTCCTTCACAATATAATATTCAAGCAATTAAATAAAACACAGGAAAGAAAAAAACCGAAAATACCTTAAATTATAACGAAAATTTAGAACAGCATTAAATTAATATATTACCTTTAGATGTTTCATTTTCTTGATTAGAAAGAGATGCAGATTCATCTGCATCATTCATATCATCATCATCATTGTTCATATCATTAACTTCACTGATTTCTGAGTCAGAATCATCTTTTTTGTTTTCAATTTCAGGAGCTTTCTTCTTGGTAAGTTTCTCTTTTTTCTTTGTTTTTTTCTTTGAGTGAGGTTTTTCTGCCTCACCACTACCTGCAATAATAATAAATTATTACTATTCCTTCCTCAAGTAAAATGAGAAATAAAAATATAATTAAAAGATATAATATGCCCTTTGAAAACTGATTATCAAGCTATTTTGAATTAAAAGTGAAATTATTGATTAATTAGATTAAAACTGAAATAAACATATTTTTGGTAATTTATCCATTTATTAATTCAGCTTCATAAAAGAATCTTTATTATTTTTTAATATATAGCATACCTATTTAATTGATGAAAGTGAGTTACTTTGTTGAACAGGAAGTCACATTTGCCAGAAATAGATAAGCACTGTTTTATTTCAATCTGATTTCTTAAGACTCCCATTATCAATTAATACATTTTATTAAATAGATGTTTACCTTAAGCTTTGTGCCATTTGCCACATTTTCCCATACCACACAAAAAAAAAGGGGGGAAAAAAATTATTTTTTGCACTGAACTGTATTTTAAAAACAGCAATACAATTTATAGACTGTCATCCATTTAACAAAAACATGGTTCTAGCTCAGACTGAGACTGTTAACATGTAACTTCTGATAGAAATGCATCAAAGCATTTTGGCAAACATTCCACATCATAATATTCATCATGAACCTAAAGCTATAAAATGCAGCTTCTTAAAATTAATTTATAATTTTTGTCACTGATTTATGCAAACAATTTTAACTAAATAAAAAAAAATAGAAATATGCTGCCAATTACGCAATATTTCCATTCTAATCTCTAAGTTTCAAATGCACCCAAAAATGATTTATGACCTACTTCATAAGAAATTAATGGCATTTCGGTTATTTCACCTCTTATATTGATTTCTAAAACTAATAACATTGTTCATTCGATTGCTAGGCGTGCAATTCAGGAACATGGCACACTTTCATTAATTTCACAATTTTATACCACAATATAATCAAGTTGTTCCACACAAATAAAATCATATTTGTGAAAAACAACATGAATTTTACTACACTTTCATGGAAAATATTAACTTTCATCAACATTACTTTATAAATAAGTATCAAATCATGCGTTCTCTAAAAGCATATTTGACGTCTACATGTGGAAATGACGATACTACTTACCCTTTTCATTATGATCACCATCCAGGACCAAATTTTCTTTCAACTGATCAGTAAATTCATCATCAACATCATTTTCTACGTTATTATTTGAACATTCGTTTTCAGTTTCCTTCTTAGGATTGCGAGATTTCTTTTTAGGCATTTTTCGTGTGTAAATTGCTGGATGTCTGCTATTGCAATAAGTGATTGGAAAGAAGAGGTAAGTTGAGTTGATCTATACCTGACGCTGATTTGCAGTTTACGTCGCCTAACTCTATTCTTCAAGGCAATAAAAAATCATCATTGCATGTTCAAGCAAACGTAAAAATTAATAAAAAAATTTTAGCTACAAATTGAGATAAAATTTAAGTTATTATTATGTACACAATGAGATTAATTAATCTCTCTCAGGGACATTGACAGACAAAACCTTAAAAAAAACTTTAGTATTTCATTAATGGCAGTTGTGAGGAATGTTGTTCCTATGCGACGAGCCTCCTTGGCGACGACGAAGTGTGTTGAATGTCAAATTTCTCGGAAGTAAACAAGTGATTTTTTAAATTAATTATGGTAAGTATATATCCTAAAGTCATGCCACTCTTAAAGAACATTACTTTAGTTTGAACTAATATATCAGAAAGTAAGGATTTTAAACAAAACATATTTGTAATACCACTTTCAGGGATTTTTTTTTTAAATGAACATTTTCTATCAACATAGAAGTGGTCATCTCAGCTTTTCATATTAGAATACGTAGTTATATTTTCCTGTAAAAGTTTGGAAATTTGTAATCTTATTGATACATTTTCAATGATATAAGGAATTCAAGCACAGAAATTTTTAATACAAAATTAGGGGAAAGTGCAGAATCGCCCACTGCTTGGCGCATTTTTAAGAATTGCACATACTCGGTATCCATGTACACATCAACCTATTTTCACTTAAAAAAAATTCCCAGAATTGCACAAAAAGGGCATTGCGCACTCCCTCGAATAACCTATTTTCACTTAAATAGGTCAAAGAAAATTGACAAAAATCCAGTTCTTCTTACTCTTGTAAAAAGCGCCAATCAAATAAATGAGCGATTCTGCACTTTAGCCCAAAATTAAATAGAGTTAATATTACTGTTAGCTTTAGAGAAAAACTATTCATTTCAGTAAACATTAATATGGAACCTTTTCTTCAAGAAATGAAAGTATTTTGTGTTAAAGGCTACAAACGTAAATTGAAGTCACCAGAATCGTCTGAGGGGGTAAAATTTACGGTCAGGCTCACCATGATACTTTTGGCAATTTTTCGATGCCAAGAATCTGTATTTCTAAGATGCATCTCATCTAAAACAATGCCAAAACATATGTTACAAAAACAACAGAAGTAGTCACCTTGTTTATTCTTGGTTATGTCTCATTGCCATCAGGTGACTGTGGTTGATAAATTCTTTAATGTAATTCATGTGGTCTCAGGTTGAATACATGATACTGCAAACTGCAATGCCACATAAACTTTGCAAAGTGAGAATCGGAAATGTTACCTGAAGACTTGTGAAACTTCCTCTTAATCTAGCTGCACATGCTAGATTAAGAGGTCCTCCTCATGCTAGATGAAGAGGAACTCTTAATTTGACTGTCCTGATTTGAAGACTCCAATTGTTCTGAGAATAATTTGATTCTTATGAAAGTTCATAGATGGCTTTCTTTGCATTTTTAATTTTTTCGTCATCCAAAAAACTTTAGTGTTTTGGATCTTCATAAATTGAACCCAGCAAGGTCTCATTGTCTAGGAAACAAGTTTATCTTTTCTTCATTGAAGAAATGAATCCTTCAGCAAACCCTCCATTTCAGAAAGAACAAACATCACATTCTTCCATTCTCGCCTCCTGTTAATTCTTCAGATTGAAGTTTTTTTGTGGCTATATATGGTGTAGAAAGAAGAGTTTCCAATCCTGCAAGATCATTCCACAGTCTTTCTGTTAATGAAACAACTACATCTTCTAAAAACGTTCTTACTTCTAACAACCTCTATATCATTATGATAACACGCTGAACAAATATTAGTTTAGAAGTCAAACAGCAAAAATCAGAGTTATATTTTCACAGGACTAGTTTCATTGGTTTTACCGAACCTGCAAAAGCACAAATGGGCTTCCATTTACGCTTTTACAGCTGAGGATGATGGTTCGGTAAAACTATCAAAACTAGTCCTGTGAAAATTTGAAAATATAACGCTGATTTTTGTTGTTTGACTTCTAAATTAACCTCTATATCATCAAATATGTACTTCCCCACCATGTTGCTTCATCAATAATTGCTCCTTTTCCTGCTCGCTTTCTAAGAATGGCATCAATTTTGGGAGTTCTTGCTGCTGTTGCTGAATACCTAAATTTACCAGTGAGATTTGTAACTAAATGAATCAGTTTAATCAATAATGGCAAATATTTCATCCATCCTCCTCTATTGTACTTATTTATTAATATGTCAGTAAAATATAAAATAACTATTTATTAAAAATTTAGTGTTTTGGATGTATATAGTCCGTTAATAAAAATAACTCTGTTTGTCATTATTTTTTTTTCACTTCACTTTAATTTCATTTCAAATTCAAACTGCTGAACAAAAACTGGAGTTGAAGTCAATGTGTTTTTAGCGACTGCAGCTCCAACTTCTTTTACCCCAAAATCTGCCTAACTCCATTTGCGACTCCACAGCCTAGCTTACAATGGATGCCTTTCATGCAACTGATCCTCAAATAGCCGTCTGATGAAACCTTACCCTCAACTGGATGCATATCTTTTGTACAAACTTAGACAGTCTGTAGAGACATAAGTTTTTCCATGGTCCAGGAATCGAACCATGGACCTCTGAAATATGCTCACCACCACACCAAGAAGGCGGGAAAAATACCTTATATGCTACCCCTTTTAAAGGGCCACTGGGGTTTTTAGGGGACACAATTGCCAAATCCTGAGTGAGGAGAATCATCATTCACAACCCTTAGGGTTTTTTTGAAGCAGAAGATGTGAGAAATGAGCAACACCTTCGCCAGGAATCGAACTGTGGACCTCTGGTTATGCACCCAGCGTGCAGACCATCACACCAAGAAAGCGGGAGAAATACCTTATAAGTCATTCTGAAAACTAATTAAACCTTCATTTGTACACCAATCAATAATAGCTTTCATATACTTTCAGTCTAAATTATGAAAAAATGAGTATTTCTCTTACCAGGCATACTTCTTGTAGAAATGACGGGACAATGATTAGTTAGAATTAACCAGCTAAGGAAAACTAATGGTCAGTTAACAGCCATTGAAATTCAAATAATTAATAGTAAATGTACCATGAATCATGTAGGCCTCAATCCCTAAACTAAGAAGATCCAATTAAATGAAACTTAAATACATTGGCAATCAGCAAAAACTTTTTGCCAATATTGGGGAAAGAGCTAATTCTCAGTTACCAAAAAACCAGTACCCACATCGATATTTGGCGCTAGGTCAGGGGACACTCTTTTCTAAACTACAACTTCTGATTATTATGAATAGACTTGTAATCATGGTTAAGTGTTAAATCTCTTGAGCTGCTTTTATTTTGTTGAGCAAGGAAGTATTCATATTGAATATTGTTTCTAAAAAACTATTTAAATATATTCTCAACTTTCTTCATTTATGCAAATGGATGTTATTAGTTCTGTAGAGGTAACATAACTAAAGGGATGATAATAATGACAGTATTAACCCGCGAGCACACGCACCGTTCCGACGAACACGAGAACACGCACCGGGTATGTGATACCCGAATGAAAAGTTTGTAATTAAAATTTGCCAAACAAAATTAATCGGTTTTTAAAAGAAATTAAAATGTAAAACCAAGTTAATACTTCATTTTAGACAAAATATGAAAGAATAAGGAGAGATAAAATTATTTATTTACAATTCTTTGAACATTGTTTACAAAATTAGGTCATTTGTTCCATACATATACTTTTGCTGCAATTTTCACAAATGAATCTAGTCTTTCTATCTTTTTTCTTGGAGCACTCTGTAGACCTCTTGTAAGTAATTTTAGGTTTTTTGGAGGATGGTTCATTGTTAACATGTTCATCGGTGGTCAGAGTTATTCTAGAATCAGGAACTACAGATGCTCGTCGTCATTCACTTTGAACAATTTCTATTAGCTGCATCCCATCTTTGAGAAAAGTATGCCTGGTACGGTATTCCGTTGGTGGTTCCTTCTTTGATAGTAGAATTATTCTTGCATTAATGGCAGCCACGTTTAACACTGAAAAGAAAATCACCATAGGCCATCGACGTGCTACTCTTGCTGTAGCCATCTCATCTACAACATCGACTGCTCCTTTTGTCATGTTATAGAATGTAATGATTTCAGGCTTTTTAAATTCCCCAGTAGATTCATCGATTTGATCGTCGGAATGCATTGTGGACAACAGGATCACACTCTTATTTTTTTTCGGCACATAAGATACAAGTGTTGCTTCTTTCTGAAAACCGAAAATTGAAGAATATGCTTCTTTTTCCTTTGCCAGAAACTCAGGTGGGATTTCTCTCTTATTTTTACGCATTGTACCTACTATCGTAATTTTCTTCTTTTGGGGATCTTGAGATAATTCATATCCCATATACCAATTAGCAACTGTTAAATTTCGACCAGAGTTGTATAAGGGCCTTATTAAACATTTGACAACTTCGCTTGCACCGATTTCAACTTGAAATGGCCCATCTGGTTGTTTACCAGCATAAATTTCCATACTATAGGTATAAAATACCCTTACGTCTACAAGAGCAAATATTTTTATGCCATACTTTGCTGGCTTGTTGGGCATATATTGTTTGAAGGAACAAAGACCTCTGAATGATTTCAACTTCTCATCAATGGTCACATACTCTCCTACAGTGTAAGCCTTTTGGCAATTTGTGACAAAATTTCCAAAAAATTCTTTGATCGGAGCTAATTTATCAATATTTCTTCTACTGGAGACGATCTCTAATGTCATCAAAACGGAGGCATCGTAAAAGAAAGAGGGAATCGGTTCACTGACATTGTTTCCCGAAATATGTCCATTCCCGTTCCACCTGTTGCCCACAAATCTCTTACGTTCACATGGGATGATTTATAAACTCCACATAAATACAGCAATCCAATTAAAGCTTTGATTTCCAAACTCATTTGTTGCTTTCGCATCCCGTTCACGAGTGAAATTTTCCACGTACTGAATCAATATAAATATTTGTATTGTCGACTACGTCTTAACATATCTTCATCGATAAGCAGTGACAGGAATCTAAAGGTGTTGAGACGTCTTTAGAATACTTCGTATTTCCAGGGAGTTTAGTTATAATATTTTTGGCGCCAATTCTAACATTAGTCCGTAATTTATTTTTGTTCCATTTTACTCCATTGTTTTCAACATAAAACTCATTTACGCTCATTACATTCCAAAGTTTTATTTTCTGTTTCTGTATCTGAATCATTATCCTGTATGGATGAATCATGATTACTATTTTATTCTTCGTCATCAACATCTTCATCGTCTTCACTAAATGAATCCTCATCAGAAGAAACTGTTTCATGAAAATTTCTCAATCTTTTCATCTCTTCATCGTAAGGAATATACGGCGCCATGCTTACAACTCAAGAAAAACCTATACTAAAAGCTTGAAAACGAGAAGTGCGAAGTGACTCACTGAGAAACGCGAGTACACGCGCGGGTATGACATGCCCGAACAATGCTGTTCCTAAAAAACCATTGCACCTGTCACCTCAGGAATTTCCCCCATTTAAGTATGTGACCATGAACTCAGCTACACCAAGTTTCGTCTTTTTATGAAGGAATAGGTGAGAAATATACAAAAAGAAAAATGCACATGGGTATGACATACCCGTTGTGTGTGCTCGCAGGTTAAGAATTTTATCTTGAGTTTGCTATGGTAGGAGTAGGGCTGATTTTCACCTAGGTCTCCTTAAAATAGCTATTCCAAAGAAATTGATCTGTGTTCTGCTGTTTCAAATATTATACTAGTTTTCATAGTATCTGTTTATATCTTGAAGTTTTATTGCTGCTCATTCCTAGACCAATGACACAAAGCAATTTTTTCCATATAGAAATATTCAAATAACAAAGTTCATACTGAACAATAATTTTCATGAATAAAAAAAATGTGTTGCTTAGCTGTAACTTAATAATTGAACTGTTTATTTTTGCTTCTCAAATATTTTAATTTGAATAAAATTGAATTGCATGACATTTTGAGATTTGTGTGTAATACAAAACTCATTCAGATATTAGGTACCATTTGGGTATTAAAAAAAGATTAGCTATTTATTTCCATTTGTGTTTTATTACAGCAAAATCTGCACACCTAAAACTACTTTTTTACATATTCACCAAGCGAACAAGGCATGTGTCATATCTTGTCACTAGTTTCAACATACCCACTTCATAGAATTCAGCCATCTTCAACCTGTGCTAGTTCTAGACGTTTACCTTGATCATTTTCAAAAGTTGGCACTGGTCAGCACATTTTTTGTTGTGCTGAGCAAAAAATTTCTTGAGATGTAAAAAACAAATGGAAGTCAGGTGAAGCTAGGTCCGGACTATAACGAGTGTGACAGAATTTTTCCCAGCAAAATGAATCCAGCAGCATCGTTTTTATGCTTGCTGCATGTGGTCATACATTGTCATGTACAAACGCAATACCGGAAGTCGGTAATCTAGGCTTTTGTTCTGTATCTTGTACTGTAACTTCTTCAGCATAATAAGCTGTAGCATTGATTGTTGTGCCTCATTCCATCCAGTACACTAACAAAATTCCTTGACCATTCCAAAACACAATGCACATTATTTTTCATGAAGAAAAAGGTGGCTTTGCTTTCTTGCATTTCAGGGAACCATGCCATCATTCCACTGACTGTCGTTTTGTTTCAGCTATCTCGTAATAAATCCATGTTTTATTACTGTGACAATACTTTTACAAAAAATCATTTCCTTTTGCCGCATAATGCTGTAAAAACTCCAAGGCTGCTCTCATGCATTTCCATTTTTTAATATCTGTTAGTGTTTCATTGTGAACACAGTTTTTTGTAGTGCAAATGTTCAATCACAATTTCATGTAAGAGAGATGTTGAAATGTTTCGAAAATGCATTGACAAATCAGAAATTATAAATTGGCAATTGAAATGAACTTTTTCATTGATGCATCACACGAATTCTGTATCATGATCTCCATGATTTAGCAAGCAGCTGTGAGCAAGAGAAATACAGTCAGTACCTTTGTTTAATTTTTCTGTTTCTTTAAATGATTTTGCCTGAAAAGACTGTTCGACTCTGCAAGAAATGGCACTAAGCCCAGAGGTTGGGGCCCAGCAGCTTCCAAGCGGTTAAGTCGCTGAACACTGATAGTTCCGACCTGGGTTCGATTCCAGGTGAACAGGCCAGCTGCATAGATGTTTTCCTGGATTTCCCCATGTGTAATGTGTATATGAGCTAGTTTCCTTTAGAAAGTTCTCCACTCCCTTCCCTTAGGCAAATAGCCTAAGTGTACTTTGCCCTAATCAGAGAAACCAAAACCTAGCCTTGGGGTTGGATTTACTTCTAAGATTCTGTCGGTAATTTCTGCAGCTTTGTCTGAAGTTAAACTGGAAACTGGCGCCAAAATAGACTGAAATATCAAAGGCAAAAATTCTAAAATTAAGTTATCGGAAGCATTTAAGGATTCCACTCAATGTTTCATATTTCTAAGCAGATTGGAAGTTTTTCAAGAGCCTAATTCCTCTCCAGATAATAACTGGTGAATTTCTTACTGAGAAGATTCGTCTGATATGTTTATTAACTCAGTTTTGAGCTTTGTGTACGGATCAGTAGAGTCTGGTTTCATAATTAAATCTGAATCTAATAATGCAATACCTAGAGGAAAATGAGAAATTATCATCAGTATACATAATTATCTTTAGTATTGATTCTGTGATAAGTTTGGAGGCAGCAAAAGCAAACCTACTTTCACAGAAAATTAACCATAAGGCTGGGTCTGAACAGTTCTAATCCGGAATTTATACGGCATGTACATTGGGCATTTTGCAAGGTTTAACCCAAAATAAAAGTAAAAATTCAACTAAAGAAAATATAATATGAGTGATAAGTAGAAAACAAAATTATAAAGTGATCTATAATTACTATTTATCTGTGATCTGGAATATGAAAATCAATGTAATCTGTAATTTCTCGTATCGAAATCTTAGCAGGTGCAAGGTGGAGTCTTTATTGCTATCACCACAGCGTCATGCATTTTGGTATGTGAGTGTATATATATATGTATGTGTGTGCGTACAAACACGCAGTACATTTCTGTATGCACACACAGGTGTGCCAAAATGTGTGCCAGGTGAATAATGGAAAAGCAACTGTATTTTAAAGATTAAATAGGATATATATTTGGAAGTGGCAAACTAGACGTTCATAATTCTCCAAGAAATGTAATTTTATCATTGTCATGTACTTTTGATATTTTATGTCTTTACTTATTTGTACTTTATAAATTTCCAAATGCTTTTCTTTTATAGGCTGAAAGAAAAGCTGTCAATAAATATTACCCTCCTGAATGGACACCTGCAAAAGGTTCCATCAACAAATTTCGTGGGACGCATGCCCTCAGGGAAAGGGCACGTAAATTACATATGGGCATCTTGATCATAAGGTGTGTAAAAATTTATTATAATTATTTGAGTTATTATTTATATACTGTCAATTAGATAAAGAGGAAAGTAAGTATAATAAATGCTATTGTAATTTTAAAAAAGCAAAGCCAGCTGATTGTATAATTAAAATAACTTTATACAATGATAAGGCAAATCCACAAGTTTAATATTTTTTTAAGGAGCTGTGTAAAAATGTAAACCTCCTTTAAATTTTGGAATAATTATTAGTTTTAAATGTTGGATCATCTAAAAATTTCTGTGTGTTATTGCTGATAAATGCAAATGAAGCAGTACAGAAACATAAAAAAAAAATTGGTACAATTATATTATAGGATTCAGTAAAAAAATTGGGTACTTTTCCGTTTCGCCGGCGCAAATCTCGCCAAGACGACTTTGTTGGCGATAACATACAGTATACACATAAAAAATGTTAACAAATGTTAATTCTAAACATTTTCTATTTTGAAGGCATAAACATTTTAATATGGTTTAAAATTTTGTAAAAAGCTAATAAATAAAGACAATAAATTTGTAAAAAGACATAATTTAAGAATTTACTATGCTTTCATGGTTCAAATTCCTGATTCGTAGGTTCGTATCACATGACCCCAAGTGATCTCATCTCACGTAAACTATGCTATAAAAATCTAATTCTCTCGGTAATTATGTATAGTAATTTCAAGTTAAATCTTAATTTGGAATACAATTTTAAATGCAAGAGTTATTTCAGTTCTTACGAATAGCTTACTGAGAAATTATGTAAAACCGCAGTGCTTTACTTCGCTAGTGCATTCTCATTATAATTGATGGATCTAACACTTGATTTTGCCTTTTCTATATTTTTGCCTTCATGTGAACGGTGTGATTGCATTCTAATTGACTTAATTACCGCGAATGGTCTTAGGGCATACAATTTAACTATCTTGTAAAAATTCTATGTAATTGTATGCCAGCATTCAAAGAAACAAGAAATGGCTGCGATTTGTTTTGAAAATGAGGCGTAAAAGGTTACCAGCGAATATATTCCTTTTGGCATCCAGTTGTACCATTATTGGCGACTTTATCGTTTGCGCCGGCAAAACGGAAAAGTACCAAAAATTGCCAAATTATTGATGATGCCAAAAATAATTATGGTAACCCTATCACAAGAAAGGAAGCATTGTAGTAACTAGCTATCTAAGATTATCATTTCAATTTAGATGAAAGGTTAATTTCATATAATAAATTTTTTATCATTATAATTTATGAAAAATGCTAAACATAACCGAATGGAAGCATAATAGTAAATAATTATCTCAGATTATTTTATTATTATAATTTATAAGCAAACGGCTAAACAGAACTGAGAGAAAGCATAATAGTAATTAACTATCTAAGATTATTAATTTAATTTGATGAAATATTAATTTCATAAAATGCATTTTATTATTTTAATTTATTAAAAAAGGGGCTAAACATAAGTGAAATTAAATGGGAGGCATAAAATGTTTGATATCTTCCAACATTGCAAAGAAAATTTCAGTCTTTTGGTTCAAATGTCTGTACATAAATTTCAACAAATAAGAATCGAAATGCTGTCAAGCACTGCTCTGAAAGCATATTTTAGGCCATTTAACAACAGAGCCACTCTGTTGTTTGTGTATAACATCCACCAGAAAGCCCGGCGGTCATACGAAATGACCACTGTTCTAGATATTATAAATTGTAATTAAAATGATTTGTGCAAAGGTGTCTGCTAATTCAAACTGAATAACCCAGGGCAGGCGCCGAGGATGCCCCTTTGCTTACTGCCCCATGGGGTTTCCCCCTTCTACTTGCTTAATGGATTAAAGTAGAGTGCAATGAAGGAAACCACTGGCGGTACATTTCTTAGGAGCCAGTGCTAGCTCAATAAATAAAGGTGATTTAAATAATAAAATGTTAATTCACATGTCAAAGATCTCTTTGTATACAACCTTTCTTGCGTAGATCTTTCCATCATTTCTAAGCTCGCCTTGCATTATTTTTAATTTTACGTCCATTCTTTCATGAACTCTTGAACAGACAACATAAAGTTGACCGTGTCCAAATGTAGGCTCAGGTAAAAAAGTGCCACACGCATTTGGCACTCAGGCATTTGGCCCTGAGACTTATTGATGGTCATAGCAAAGGCAAGTTTTACAGGAAATTGCCTACTTCTCAATCGAAACTGCAACATTGTGCCGTAGCAACTTCATCCCATTGGCTAGTACAGTTATGCAAACAACCAATAAACTATCGGCGACAAACAGACACTTAAGCTGCATATATATGTATATATATGGGAGGTAACTAACATTATCTTCTTTGAAACGGCTGGCTCCCGGGCTAAGCGAAGCACACCGTTGGATTTCGCAGGTCCATGGCATGCTATTTTGGTCATTTGCGTCTTTGTGGGACATAATTAGCTGACATGTTAATTAAAAACTAATTTTCCCCTGCATTTTCCACTTTCTTTCTTGGGCTTTCCCTATTAGAGGGATTTGGCTATGTGCCAAATTCTTTTTTCTTGAATATCTACAGAACGTCACCGAGTTGCAAATCGAGACGCATATCGTCGGATTCCAAAAAAATTCTCCAAATCCATCGATACCGTTTTCATCTTTGTATGACTTTAATCGGCCGAAATATTAAGTAAAAACTGCGGAAATGTCAATTTCCGCGCTCATTTTTGCGAGTGGCAACAATAAACTATCAACGACAAACACTTAAGCCGCTTTTATATATTGTTACAAAGTGTCAAGGCGCGGTAAGGTTGCTTCCCCACAAAGCAAGTTTTAGGGTTGCCATAAAATGGCAAGGGAAGGCAGTGTTGCCGCATTTAGCAAGAAATCGCACATTTGGTGACAAAATTGGCGATATGCAGTGGACAGATGGAGAACCTTCTGGTACAAATTCTTACTGGCTTACCTCAGAATGTTCTCGAACACAAGCCGAAAGCTATATAAACCCTGCTGGTCCGCAATCAGTTAGTGTGCCTCGCCGAGTTCGAGATAGAATATCTCTCATCTAGTTAGTCCATGCGGAGATGATTGAGTTGACAACCAGCCAGCGAGTGCCGAGTGCATCAAAAGAGTCTCTCTGTATATCACGGTTAGTGTATCGTCAAGAGAGCGTGTTGAGCTCTGGGAACAACTGAACCGAAGAGTCGGGAGCTGTGCTGTGTGTGTCGTCGAATGCATTGCGAGTTGTAGCATGGAGAGTCTCAAGAGTACGTGGAGTTCTGAGAACGAAGAGAGTTGGGAGCTGGTACTCTGGGGCTTTGCAGTGAAGCCATCTCTGTCGTTATTGCCTGAAAGTGTGAAGGTGGTGTCGCTGAACGTGTCGGCATGTTTATAACAATTCGATGACTGTAAAATTGTTTTGGAGCTGTCCTGATGAATACTGGCTAATAAAGTGTGTTTCGATACTCCATCAAATGCTGTCATCGTTATTCACTCCAAATCCACCCGAACGTACGAGAGTGAAGGAAGAAAATAACGTAACAACTGGTGTCAGAAGAAAAACGCAACAATATGAAGATCTTCGGGGTTCACAAAATTGTACTTGTGGGTGACAGTAAAATGTTCAAAGCCGGCATCTCATTGTTCATCTGACCTTTATGATTTCTAGCAGTCAATGTAAATAATACTTCCTTCTGCGATATTTTCCTTTATGACGTTCTCTTCACTGATGGATTTGGAGCAGTGATTAACAAACATTCATTTGGTTCTCTGCACAATCCGCCAAAAACCCACTGTAGTGGAACAACATGTCCAGCTTTGAAAAGCTACTGAAAAGGCTTTTGTCTACTTCAATAATTTTGCTTCATTTGCCAATTTTCAACTTAAAGCCAAAGAATTAAAGCTGCATAACTGTTCCTGTATTGTTGCTCATCTTCAATCAAAATTCACAAAATTCAGTAGATGTCATCTCTTGACACCAAAAATAGATGAACCTAACAGCTGTAAGGAAGAGGATTTTTGATCCTTTGAAAAATTTTGACTGAAATTTTTTCAATTTTGACTTTGACTTTCTTACACCACCATTTTGCTGCTGAGTTACCGCTAACTGAGTTTTCATCTCATGGTTGTTTGAATATAATTTTCTATTGTGAATAGTGCCTTTGAAAAAAATTCTGTTGTAGACTTTTTTCATTGGGCAATTCCTAATTTGTTTGATCCATAGCATTATCAAAAAAAATAATTAAAAAATTAAACCAGTACAGTCAAAAGTCGTTAATCCGAACTCGTCGGGACTTCAGCGATTCCGGATTATAGATCATCAGTTTAAATCTGGTAAGATGGCATGCAAAAATTATAAAATTAAAAATATGAAACCGTAATTTATGAAATAAAGAACAATTATGATCTAAAGGGTATCAAAATTTACAAAAAAAAAAAAAAAAAAAAGCTTAATATTTATTTGTTTACTTTATTAAAGATTTCTTTTAATGTAAGTTGTTTAAGTTGCTTCATTTCATGTGATAATACCTTCTCTTTAATTCTATAAACAGACATAATTTCTTGTTCAGTTACAAAGTTCCGCTCTTCAAGTCCTATAATTGCTGTGTCGAGAATACCGACTAATTTGTCAATCGAAATGTTTTCATTTTCAATAGCCTCTGTGTCACTTTCTTCACTATCGGAAGCAAATTATAATGACGAGGAATTTGATTTAAATCATATCAAAGACGGAGTACATCGAGATGAAATACTACATTTAGTAAGGAATTATAAGCCAAATAAAATAAAAACATCTGCCCTGAAGATAAGGATAGTGCTGACAGATCAAGATCAACTTCCAATTCATTGCGCGCCGCAGCATTGACTTCCCCCTCCCACGCAGAGCAGCGTGAAATTGATAAACAGATTTCGGAATGGTTAGGTAAACAAAGGATAGTGGCTTTATCCATTTTTTGCAGCAATTCCACTTTTTGTTTAATGGACTTCGAAACATACTTTCGCTTTGTAGATCCTTTACATATTAGTAAATATATATA